GCGGGAAATTTCAGAATTGCTTTAAACATCCAAAGGCAAACATAAGGCTCTCATGGTTGAGCACGGTTTCCACCCCAAAGATTTGAGGGTGATATTGAGCAAATGTGGAAAACCTTGCCTGTATAATCATTGTGGGCTACAATTGCCGAAGACAAACAATTGTTCCGCAAAAAACACCGCTCCTTTTCATCACACCCCACGCTGCAAAGACATGACAACGGCCTGGGACCACACGATTCAAGGCCGCTCTAAGGCTTCCAGGACAACTGTCATGTAGACCCATGAAGGACAGATTTTCTTCCTCCATCCAAAATCCTTCAGAAAGTGTTTCAGGAGCTGCACTCCTACAAACTGCTTGCCACTTTGGGGAAGATGGAAAAGGTTTGTGTATAGGGTTGATGTGTTTTTACGAGCTGCATCGTATAGGCACATGAGGTGGTTTTATGTTCCATGCTCCTGCAAACATTGGAACCATGGCTTGCCTCAAGCAAGCGATATACACCCCCTAAGCACTTGCAAACTTCTGCATGGCAGCCGTTTGCGAGGCTTTCAACATGAGCTTGATATCCTCCAAGGCCGGATCCGAGGGATCAAGTGGTGATTCATAGTCATGTAGCCTGCTGACCTGAAGTGGCAAACGATTCGTCCTCAAATTGTTGTTGGGGTATACAAAACGTATGTCAAAAAGTAAAGGGATCAGATATGCAACTTTCTCAGGTGTCTCAGGACTTGACAAATGCCGTAGCCACCGCAAGGTTCACATATGCACATGGACCACCGGAAAAGTAGGCAAACTGGCTGTTAGCGCCTTTGGTGGTTGGGCCCCTTACACCCACAGCACCCAGCGGTTGCCCTCTCCTGTGCCAGTAGGGTACTTTCGTGTATTCATCCGAATGGTTCTCGGTCAGTGCTTGGACATCCGCCGAATGGCAGTCACACTTTGCACCAAATTGGCACTCCACATAAATTGCTTCCAGTTCAGCTTGCAAGGCTTCGTCAGGCTCGATTTCAGAGTTCTTGGGCTTGGCATTCTTGCTTCCCTTGGGCTTCGAGCTTGACTTCGCCTTTGCCTTTGGGCTGGCCTTTGTGCCTTTATGGTTCTGCGCAGGTTTCTCTTTTGAACCCTTGGGCTTCGGCCCCTTTTTCTTTGAATCCTTTGGCTCCTTTTCCTTTGAAGCCTTGCCTTTGGACCCGGTGGATGTGGCGGCAGTGCTTGGCTCAGCTTTTGGCGGCGATGGTTTCTTGGCCTTCTTGGCCTTCTTGGCTGAAGGCTGAGCATCACTGCCGGCTGCCGGGCTTTGCTCTGCGAAGCGAAGCCGTTTTGCTTGCAAGACTCTTTTGGCCTTTGCTTTCCGTTGTGCGGTTTTTTTGGCTCGAGACTTTCGCTTGCTAGCTTTGCCCTTTGACTTTCGTTTGGCTCCTTTCGCCTTCACTGACGGTTCATTTTCTTTGTTCTGTTTTTTTCTCTTCTTTCTTTTCCTTCAAGACCCTTTTCGTTTGAAATTGGCCACGACGAGTCAGTGTAGCATGGCTGGGAACTTCTGGTAGCTCAGACTCCTGGGTGAAACCATGCAGCGGACACGAGTGGGTGGGAATATAAACCCCCACAGAACCCGCATGCAAAGAACATGTTTGATATATTTTTGCACCCCTCTCCTGTCCATGTTTGATCCTTTCCTCCATGTCAGACATCCACTTGAGCTGCTTCTGCATGTAGTCAGTGTGGGCGAACTGATCCCCTGGAATGGGAAGTTGGGTTTCCGCAGCATCATCACCAAACGGGAGGGTCTCAAGAATGATGATTGGATGAGAAGAACCTTGGCAGTCCCCTATACTTTCAACAACTTGCAGTAGATATGTTTGTATATAGGTTGACCCAAACAAACATCCTTGATGGACAACCTTATTTATAATCATGAAGCAACATCTTGCCAGTCAATCTCATTAATTGGATCCAGTTGCCTCCAAGCGCAGGAAGATCCTTTGGATCACCGGTCTTCGACTCTTTGGGCTGGGAACCAAGCTTCCTGGGATTGCGTCAGCCGAAAATACGAAAAGAGTTTAGTTCTGGTCTGTTGATCATATATTGTGCCCCAAAGACTATTCAGTGGTATACCAGTTGGACATGGCCATGTGCAAACCAAGAAAGCCTTTTTATGGCAATGATCGGGTCACCCAGATTTCAGCTTCTCAATTTGGTCCAGAAGTTGTTGCACATGGTGGCGAAGTGCAAGTTGATCCTCTGCTGTTGTGGGAACCTCCTCGGCCTCCTCATCTGACACGTCAATGATGGCAGGATCCTGCAAGCCACCAGAAGGTATATGCAATTGACCAGAAGGTGTGACACATGGAGGTCTAACTTCAAAAACTTCAAAAATGTTTGCAACCTTATATACAAGATTTGAACCCCACAGAGAGAAACACACACAACGCGATCCCCACTGTATATATAATGTGTCCTTGGGAGCAGGATGCTCAGGCTCGATGGGAGTGCTAGGCTTGGCAGCATTGGGACACCCCTCACCATTCTCGATGGCATTTGGGATATTCTTGTCTGCTGAAGCCTCACCAAAGTCATGACCATCATTTGGAAAAAGGAGTTGAGATTGGTACTCTTCGAACGTTTGGGTAAGATCGCGTGGCTCTGGTGCTTCGGGCACTGGCTCTTCGGGCGGTGCCTCATGAACTGGCTCATGAACTGGCTCTGAAACAGCTGCACCGAGTGGTGGCCCCCCCTGGCGCCGCCAGACTGTCAGTAGGCAAGCGGGCTTTCTCAACAACTGCATCCACGTGGCTTTCCTGCCACAAAAAAGGGCTGATGACATGGAAAGCAAATTTTGAGCACATGAACTGTTTGAACAAAATCTTGCATGACTTTATGCACATTTGTTTGAACCCATGCACCTTTCCCCTGTACAACCCACATTGCTGGAAAACGGTTCCACCACTCACCACACATTTTGTTCGTGCATTTCATCACACCAAGTCCTGGGTAACACAGGGAATGTCTTCGCCGAGGTCTCTCAGCAAACAGCGAAGCTCCACGTCCTGGCAAAGGCTGTTGGGAGAGGTGTTGGGATCGTGGACAATTTTGGGGTATAGAAATTTGTGGGGTTGAGTGAAAACTCGAATCTGAATACTGTTTTGTCCCCCTGTCCTTGGGATACTTGCCTTTCCAGGTCAGACTCTTGAGCAGGGACAAGAGTCTTCTTACTGCCCAGCTCTCATGATAGATGCGGTCGCCAGCGATGGGAACTTTAGCCTTCATGAAGAGGGAGCGCACCTCCTCCATGACTCCATCAATCATGGGTAGAGTACACTCATTGGCTGCCATCAGCTTGCAAACGGGTGCAAGAATGGGAGAATTCATTCTCACATTCTGAATGCTCCTGACTACAGTCTGGTCTGTGAGTTTTCCTTCTGTCGGATCCCAATGCATGCACAAGTTGCGGCCAGATCGGAGCCTGTTCCGAATATATTCATCATTGTCCCAGGACTGAGCTAACCCCTCCAAGGAATACCGTCCAACTCTTTCTGACCTTTCAGTCGATAGAGGTTCCTCGTCGACGTCATTGCCAGTGGTGGCTGGGTCAGTTGCCTCTCCCGCCACCATTGCCATCACCAGATATACAACTTCCGGGTCCCTCCACAAATCAAGCACAAACGGCTGCAGGCAGAAGATCTCCCTGAGCGGCGTGGGTGGGCGTGGGTGGAGCTGAGTGCATATTGAGGCTTTATGTATAAATCTTTCAATTTATAGATCATATATAGTTCGTGTAAACTCGTTCGATCAAAATCGCACGTTCTGATTTCAATGCCAACCATGCCGGATGCGCATTCAATGCCAAGATCTCAACATGGAACCCATGGCAGGCATGAACACAGCAGGTCTGTGGCGCTGGCGCACCTTCCCCTTCAAGATAAATGTTCTCATTGCACCAAAGGCTTTGTGGGTATTTGAGGGAGAGATACTCTTGGCCAATTTTGGACACAAACAAGGGCATTTTCCAGCTTTCAGCATGTTTCGATTATATAGATGTATCATGACGTATCCAACGAGGAAAAAATCAGAAATCGCTTGTGTTCTCAACACTTTTCCAATACTGTACGGTATAGTTGTGACCTATGGTCCAAGCTCCAACCAATGCCATAAATCGCTTGTAAATCGGCTGCTAACCAGTGAATGACAGCCAGCTTGATCAAAAGGCCGAGTTCAACCTGAAAGGCACAGGATCGCGGGATGATGGGTGTTGGAGGCACGAACGCATATTTACACTCCAGACTGATTTTTTTCAGTCCAAGTCAAGAATAACTGGTAATCTGAGATTTGACTGATTATTATCAGTTCTCAGGAGTACTAGGTAAATAAAAAGGGTTCCACATCATAAAAATATTTTACCAGTTGCGGTGTGGCAGCTTTCAAGTGACATCACAGGAATATTCCAAAACTATAATGGTCCACATCTTGATGTTGACTGACTGGTGATCAATTTATATAACCACCCATATACAAAAATGATCAAAGATGCAACACAATTCACATTTTTGCATTTGTCGCATTCGGTCAATTGAATCAACCGTCACCATTCCCATGCTGTTGTTGAGGATTCCCCTGGTCTAGAAGTGGACCTCATTGAGACTGAGTCGATAAACTGTCTGGCATGCCAACAGGTAGCTCTCCCGCAGTCACAAGACTCTCGATGAGGGACTGCTGCAGAATCTGCGTAGGAAAGCAGTTTCTGCGTGGTCGATTAGGCAGCTTAGCTGCACAAGAACATCAAATGCGCGGCTGCTGCGGCTGCCATCGAAACTACGATTCTACATCACCCAGGCACTCCGTGCAACATGGACACAAATGACAATGTCTTTTGCAGATTTTAGATCCAACATCGATATGCCTAACACATTGACTCAACCATACATGATCGGTCTGAACGGGACCAGACCTGTCCCGTCGTGCTGTCGTGCTGTCTGTTCATCTCAGCCCTCAGGCCCTCGGGTCAGGTCCGCTCGGTCAACCAGCTGGGGCTCTTCTGCAACTGGCGGCCGAAGCGTTCGGCGTCGGCGTCGGCCCGGGCCGTGGTCTCCACCACGGGCGTTACGGGGAGACCGAGCGCGTGGTGCGTGGTGGTTGGACATGAAGTTGCTGCCAAAAGGGCATCCGTTAAAAGCTCCTTGAAGCATTCCATCGTTTCCTTGAGCCCATGGAGCTGGTTGGCGATCCCCCCCATCCCCCCCTTGTGCCAACTCCTAGGGTCCTAGGGTCCCTTCTGAAGTGATCACTACACTCCTTGCAATATTCATGGCTAGGTGGATGGCCCCGAGATCGAATGACCTGTTGTGAGGAAACGACGTCAGCGCTGTCCTCGTGCCAACGACACACGGGTCAAGGGATCATTGAGTGGTGCATGGGCTGCCAAATCCTTCCCATGCGACGTGCAACCATGTATTATATATATATATAACCCACTACCAGGGGCCCTCAAAACCATGAAAAATAGAGGTTTTCATACACAAAAACCAGGTTTATTGTTGGGGAAAACCAGGTTTTGGATGCTTTATGGGGCCCCTGGTGTATTATATGATCCCTGATATAATTGGAAAGCAATCAAACATGAAACAACTATTTTGTGCGGTTGCTCCAACATAGAGGTCACTTCACCTCCAGATCGTGATCCATGTCACCCGACGTGTCACCCCGACGTCCGGCGCCTCGCCCGTGACCACCTTGGAGATCTGCAGGAAGTTCTTCGCGCGAGCGCAGAGCTCCACGACCCGCTCCTGCCGAGCTCGAGCGGATCGGAGGATGAGTCCAGGCGCGGTCGTGGCGCGAAACAAGCAGCTGTGGATTCTACGCTGGTCTACCAAGTCTACCAAACTATACCAAACTTCTAATGGTCTTGGAAGGCTTTCTGGTGGCTGAGGGGTAGGTAAATGACAAATCATCGGGACTATATAGCAGAGTAACATGACATTAAAAGCCACATATGGTATGACCAACTGTTCCGTCCCATGGATATGGCCTGAATGATCAAAGAAACCAGTGGCTGAGGATGGTAGAAGCTCTAATTGCAGCCGGGGTGGGAAGTTCTCCTCTGCAAAATAAAGGTTGACCCATTTCCTTCTTCTAAATTTGGAAGACCCAAAGTCCTCCCTACTTCTCGCATAACTTCCAAGCAACCGGTAACACATGCCTCTTCCCAAAGCAAGGTTTCATTGGCAAGTCTCTTCACATACTAGTAAACAAATGTGTGCGAAAGCCCTTCACATACCACTAGTAGTTTAAACCATGTTTGCAAACAACTGCTTGCACAAACCATGGTTTGGAGATGTGTCTTGCATCGGCTTCATCTCTCTCATCCTTCAAACCATCCAAACCTCTGTCGACTCCGCTAGCCTGATCCACCATGTCAGTGTCCTGGCGGGCCCCGTGGCCAACGCGACAGTGGAAGCTGCCCTGTGGAAGCAGACGATCAATGAAGCAAGAAAGCCTGTGTTCTGCCCTGTGGAAGCGACCGTTCTGCCCTGTGGAAGTCCAAAACACATCAAGAACTGACTGGTGACATTGGTCACTCCATTCAGCATGCTGACGAGCTCAACACATGGGCAACATACTGGCGACATGGTTACAGCACGCTGCCGCCACGACATGGTTAAGTGTACTTACTTTACAAAGCAACAAAAACACATCCCAAGTATACACAGTACACCTCATACATAGAAAACCGAGTGCCCTCACCCGTCTTCCGGTATGCCATTAAAAGATTCCAAAGAAACACATCCAGGAATCCAGGAGGGGACATGAACCCCGGAAAAATACGTATATAAAACACACCCTCGGTCCATAATCATCCAAACATCACCCAAGTCGGCCTGGTCACTGGCCATCAAGTCTTCCACATGGGCGGTGAGCAGAATTCCAAAGGTCCGTAAGAACCTCTGTCTGGTCCAGGTTTCGGGGAGTGCGGAGCTTTGGAGGGGAGATGCAGACAGAACAAATGCTCATGATCAAATGATAGAAGTATACCTGGACCCTCCTGTCAGGGTGTCCAATGGACTACCCCACACTACCTATAGGCTTCCAAACAGGGCACCCCTTGGAGGGTCCTGGTATACATTGGGTCGATCCAATGACCAGTAACAGTGGATGATGATGGTTAGGTATCAGGCCTTGTTCCAAAGTAATGATCATTGTTGGCTGACTGGTACAGGAAATAGGACAAACCCGGTATATACATTTAAGTGCATACAGTATATACATCAGTATACATATACCGAAGGGTAGACTGACCGACCGGGCCACTGCTTTACATAGGGCTGCCTGGAATGCACTGGGTGATGGAGCTGGTTCTGAAGGCCGAATCTAGGAGAGAAAGAGGCTGTTCTCGGATGGGAGTAATATGGAATAAATATAAGAGATCAGCTAAGACAGCAACAAGTCTACAGGCGTTTTGGGAGGCTTCCCCACTTGACAGTACCTCGTGGTTTCTGACAAGTCACATGATGCACATGATGACTAGAGATATCCAAAAAGAAAAACAACAGCGCGCCTGACCAAATGAAAGACTTTCTGGAGAGTTCATCTGGCTGAAGTTCTGAATCTGATGCCATCAAATTACCCCAACAACCGTTGAGGAAGCCACATTTGGACCAACAAGGTGGGTCTGTAGATGGACTTGTTCGCAGCATGAAACTCAAAGGCTTTAACGAGGTTTCAAAAGGCATAAAGGGCATTTGCCTTGTTCTTCTCGCCAAAAACATCACTGTGCTCCCGGAAATGATTTTTGTTCCATGTTGTTTTCCCCATTTTGCCCATGGGCAAACAGGTGACGAACGCACTTCAAACTAGAATCACACCCCAATACGTTTTTTTCATGGAATGGTGAACACCCTGACCCCTGAGCGGTTTTGCTGGAAAAGAGTACCCCTGCAAACTAACATGGAACTTGACAAAGGACTCATCCATTTTCCTCTACGACTCCCATGGTTTTCACCTGTTTTCGCGATCAAATCTGCAGAAGGGTCAGGGCTCTCCAAAAAGCCACCGCAACTTGAGGGCCCTTTATGCCTACTCTGAAACCACTGTACAAGGTTCTCTACCTTTCCTGGGTCAAAGCACGCTGCACAGGAATCGCTCCAACTTCATCCAAGCTGCGCATAGGAATAGCCGCCGTTCTCGGTGACCAAGTTCACAAACTTCCCGGCGTCCACATGTGCATACAGGGCAGCACCTGATTACGCCAGGCCGTTTCAGACCCGAAACATACCAACAAAGGTTGAAGAACCCTATAGACTATCCTATAGGTACCCCTGTAGGGTCCTATAAGGTCACTTAACCTCTGTTGGTAGACACTACAAAACCGTTTTCCGGGTGACACATAGACACTGTAGGTTCACCAGCTGGGCCAGCTTTCCGTCCACTGTTTGATTAGTTTGGGATTACTTGCGCATGCCAAGTGGAGAAACGTCCAATCCCAACCCCACCTGCCAAACAGACTTTGCCGGTCTTCCATGCAGGGACTTCACCATGTAAAGACTATTCTTGGCACGGCCCAAGTAAAGGACATTCCTCTTGGGAGCTAAAGACCGATTTGAACATGGTCTGGGACTCCCAAGGTGTATGTTGCTTGTCCATCAGTCCACTTGACCCACGCCAAAAAACACAAAGGAAATCCCAGCTGCTGCCGCAGCAGGGGTGAGCTGGCTGGATGGGGCCCCTACACTACTTCTATACGTCTCCAGCCTCCAGCCCGCCACAGGCCCGTCAGTCGCCCATCCGGTGGCTGTGCCTTGTGCGGAGATGGTGCCACGATGCCACCATTGAGAGAACAGACTGATCTCACCTGAAGAAAGGCGGTGAAGTGGTCCACTTGCTCAAGAGATGGGTGGTGGGCCATGGCACCGAGCTAATTACGTGGGTTGACCAAAGAAAATGAACAGAAATGGACGACCTACAGGTCAAGGTCAACCTAGCCTGGTTCGGGGATGCGGGGTTGGACTCACAGCCAGCCATCTGGCTCATGGCACGCACGGCGACGAGACCAGGAGACCGGCACGACCGGCCCGGCACGACCCGGCGTCAAACGGTCACATGGAGCGCAGCGCCCAGGTTTTTGGGCCCCAAATGGCCCCCAAAGAGGTCGTTCCTCGTTGATGTCGAAAGAATTCTGGAAAGACCATGAGATCCTCTACACAAACAGGGAGAACGTGAATCAAAATCCGTCATCTTCCACTTCCATCGTTTCAAGGAGTCGTTCATCTTCAAGAAACCAAGGGGGCTAAGGCAGCTCCGGGCACTGGAGAATTATATAGTCTGGATGGAAACACAGCCCAGCTTTTGAGCTACTAGTATAGGCAAGGCATCAAACACGTTCGATCGAATCATCCGATGGAGGCCTTCTGCCGTCACCAAAACTTGAGGAGATGGGGGTGGACGAAAGGTAGCATGTCTGCGGCTGCTGCTGCTGGTTGCTTGGTCGTTGCTGCTGCCACTGGTGCCACTGCTGCTGCTTTCTGCTTTGCTGTGCTGCAACCGCTGCTTTTCTTTTGCTGCTGCCGCCGCCGCCACTGCTGCCGCTGCCGCTGCCGCCGCCGCCGCTGCTGGTTGCTGCTGCTGCTGCTGCTGCTGCTGGTTGCTGCTGCTGATGGTTGCTGCTCCTGCTGGTTGCTGCTGCTGCTGCTGCTCCTGCTGGTTGCTGCTCCTGCTGGTTGCTGCTGCTGTTTGGCTGTTGCTGTTGCTGCTGCTACTTCTTGCTGGTTGCTGCTTTGCTGTCCCCCCCTCTTTCAATTTCGTCTGCGCAACCCCGAAAAAACTGAACGAAAACCAAGGGTTGTGGAGGCCAAACTTGTGTGAGCTTTGGTGCTTTGCTGTGCTGCAACTGCTGCTTTGCTGTTGCTGCTGCTGCCGCCGCCACTGCTGCTGCTCGTTTGCTGCTGCTGGTGCTGGTGCTACCTTTTTGCTTTGCTGCTGCTGCTTTGCTGGTTTGCTGCTGCTGCTGGCTGCTTGCTTCTGCTCAGATCACTACCAAATTCTCCGCGGCGCAGGGTGGAGTCGAATGGGGGAGGGGGGGGCATTTAAAACCAACTCTTAAACGACCGAAATCAAGCACCGGACCACTTCACCACCCCCAATACATTATTGCTAAAGCAAAGACAACTCAGGTAGCGTAACCGCTACCTTTCCTGAAAACCCTAGGGCTCCTGACCAATCTCCTCAGGTTCAGTGGTTGGACCCCTCTGGCACCCACCCCAACCATCTTCGAAACGAAGGTAGTTGGAGCTGTAGGAGGAAAACAACTCAGAAGGTGGTTAGACCCCAATCATTTTCGACACAAAGGTAGTTGTGGGAAAAAAAACGCACTGTCACGCCGAGCTGCAAAGCCATTGACCCTCCTGAATCTGATTCCCATGATCGGACCTCGTCGGGATGGTCTCCATGCGAAGAATGGGATGATTAGAAACAAACGATCAGAACGAAAGCAAACACGACTTAGTAATTCTATGCTCTATCATATCTATATGCATGGGAGAAGAAAAGCAGCAGTTACTGTCAATATAGTATAGTGTCAAAAGGAAGATCATGAGCCATCAACAAGTCATGAACTTTCACACGCCAGCAGTCACGTTCGACGGGGTGCGATCTAGTCGGGGTGCCCATCATCCACTCACTGGATGGGACGTGACTCAACACCACCCCTCTATGCCTCCTGGCACACAATAAACAGACTCTCTCTCTCTCTCTCAATCAACATACTCAACGTGACATGCGTTCCATCCCAGTGGCTTCCAGTCCTGAAGGCTCCCGGGAGCTCTCAGTCGGAACAAGGGGGTATGGAGCTCTCAGCTACAGCCTGCTGATCCCTGAGCCGTTTCCCCATCTGTTCATATTGAATGGGAAATCATTCCCGGAAGGTTATCCACTGACTAGGTGGGACAAAAATGGACTCCTAGACCCCATTAGACTCCTAGATCTTCAAATGCTTGGAGTCCTTTGCCAAAAGCCGACCCTCTGGACTGCAGGCTTCCAGTGGCTCCTGCCGATGTTCCCTCCCTTGATTCATGACGTTCATCTGGACGGTTGATTAAAAACATGTTGGCTGTTGGATGGCTTGACATCTGACTCTCGATTTATTTAGACTCCTCCATGTATAATATATATATATAAATCATCGCGTTTCTTAATCCGAATCGGAGGGGACTATTCATCCAGGACATCGGATGTCCCTCGCGATCCAGCTATCGAGCTCCATCGATCCCAGCTACGGCTCCACCGAGCGACGGTCGTGCAAGGCGGTGCCGTGGGCGGCTGGCTAAGTTGGAGAGGACGTAGTCGTCGGAGTAGAACCTCCGAACACAGACCGGTGGGTGCTGGAGCGGGTTCCGAAGAAAGCCGAACGAACTGAAGGGGATTCTGAATGGTCACCACTAGAAGAATACTGTACTTGTTTGCTGGGACCTTTTGTTGGGGGATGGAGGATGTTCAAACCCTGACTGAGTGTATGGTGGTCAAATTGTCCTTCTCAAAAATCTAGCCCTTGATCTGTAGTTGTTTCATGTTGCTTCCGGTTTTCTTCCATGGAAGGATTTCAGGGGTTTTGCAAGTCTTCAAGGGGGCAATGCAGTCCACTTCGGGCTTGGGAGTGTATGCGAATGTATGCGATCTTGGAGTTGACAATCTGACCCACTCCACTCTTCAACCAGAATTACCACTGTGTTTATCTGTTCATTCGACAGCTGTGACCGGGTTTCTCAGGCTGGTGACTTGGGCGGACAAACCACTTAGGGAAAGGAATCCCAAAACCCAAACATGATTTCCCTATTTTGAACGGAAGTTTGCCCATATGTTGAGTGCTTGGTGGTCCCAAGATGAGGTCACTCAGCTTCTAGGTGACGAGATCTCCTCAAAAGGTACTGTACACACTCCGAGGTGCACATCACATGGAAGTGGAACTCACCATCCATGAGACTTGAATCTTTGTCTACACTATCAAATTGCTTTAAAGATCAATCCATAAAGGATAGTCTGGATAATCTATAGATACTACAGATAAAAATCACAATGGTTATATAATATATAGTTATTGTATAAAATCATATGCAGTTGAAATACTAGTATATGAATTTATATGAAGGTTCCAGTCCCATGGATCCCCAAACATCTTCCACCGGTCCGGGCCACATGAGGCCGTGCGTGAGCACCACGGCTCCCTCGCAATCCTCGGGAGCCAGCTCGAGACAGGCGGCGAGGGAGACGTGAGTGCCAAGGTCACTGGTGTGACTTGTAGCGCTTATTTTCCATGGATGAAGTACGTATCTTGCAGTGTAGCGTTGTAGCGTTGTGCCAAGGTCACTTGTAGTCCATGGATGAAGTACGTATCTTGCAAGACTTGTTAGGACCATGGGGTAAATGTATCCAACTGTTTTTTGGATGGTCTCGAGTCTGGGCATTCAATGTTGTGCCGATTCCATGTTTGCCCGCAAGACCTGGGCCAACCAGGTTTCTGCACCACTCCGGGCCGATTGCACATCTGGGGAGCAAAACATAAACACACCTTTCACCTTCTGGTCATGTTGGTGTTCGCTTGTCAATCGCATCTGACGGCTTAAGGATGCTTAAAGGCGTGAAAGCAACGGAATCAAACAGCGCGTTCAGCCCCTTTTCATCCTTTCTCCAGTCTCCATTAAAAAACTCAAAACAAATCGGACGTCCAACTGTCCAAAAAAGGATCGAACACCGCATGTTCCATGTCATGTCCCAGAATCGGTGCCGGCCAAGAAGACATCCTGCGACTTCGACGTGGCGCGCTCGGTGATGGCCAAGTGACCTGGCGAAAGGTGTTTCCCGTGGTCGTGCCGTTCCGGTCGTGGCCGAGGCGAGGTCTGGTCTGGAAGTGACAGCCCCCCGCGTCTGGGTGCTCTCTGGAGAGAGGTACCATACTCAAGTATAGAAACTCAAAGGGGTCCAGTTACCACTATCACTATCTGGTTCCAAAGGCTAAACCTTAGATTGATTAGATCGAAATAGAAACCCTGGTTCCTGATATAGTGGCTGCCTGAGATCCACTAGGGTACAACGCTGAACGATCTTTTGACCAAACATCTGGGACACCGCGAGACATCGGAGATCCGCTGCAAGCATCTCCAGGCCGAGAGGCAAACGTTGATCAACAGCCAGGGGTTGTCCTTGAACGCGCTATACGCCCAGCACTTCCGCATCAGGAGAGGCTTGAACATCTCCTGCAAATGACGGTGCTGATGTGAAGGTCATGTGTGAATGATCAACATACCATGCCAAAACTGCATTTGCTAAGACAGGAGTTCGCTGAACATGGATGAAAGGATTTGGATGGTCCATCGAATAACGAGTAACAAGTTGTTATGTTGTACATGGCACCTTTGCCAAGTGACAAATTACATCAAATTACCATAATATGATACAGTAACGGCCTTAGGGGGGTACAGCACCACACACACGTTCGACCACACCACGTTCGACCTGTCGCAAACCACATCGCTCCTCATGCACCTTTGCCCGAAGCCTGAAGTAGCGAGCGTTCAACGAAAAAGCCGTGGGCAACGAGCGTGTCCCAACACTCCATGATGTATGCAGTATCTTTTACATGCATTATCATGCATTGGCGCCTGAAACCTATCGGATGTATATAGGTGTATATGTTCAGTGTTTGTGAGGGCAAATGCTTATCAGAACCCTGCCAGTGGCGTTAGGACTCTAACACGAGGATTCTAGCCATGGGCGTGCTCTGCCTGCTCAGCGTTTGCACTTCTGTCCCCGCAAGAGTCACAGAACATCGGCTCACCATGTCACACTCTTTTGAGAGGAATAGCCATTTCTATTGGGTTCCTTATGCTAGTAGGTTGGAGGCCATCGCTAGTAGGTTGGAGGCCATTTCTATTAGGTTCCTTATCGCTCCACTAGGTTCCTTATCGCTCTATGCTATTAGGTTGGAGGCCATCGCTACTAGTTGGAAGCCATTTCTATTGGGTTCCTTCTTAGGTTCTGAATAGTTACAACTCACAAAACTGGACAAGCTCGTCTCTGCACCGGTGGATCCGCCTTTCCGGGGATGTCTGCAAAATTGCCACATCCTGCCGTACACACGTCTGCACTGTCTGGTCCAACAACGGTTAAAGGACTCCAGTGCTAAGTGTGTTAAAAGCAACAATTTCCTGTGTTTCAACGCGTCTTTTGGTGGCAAGTGCATCAAGTTTGTTCTATCCGTTTTGCCTGTCTGGGTGTCAGGTTCCATGTTTTATCTACTGCGGGATGACTATATATAAACATCTCCAACATTAAAAGCATGGGACATGAAACAGCTTGCAAATTTATTTTCCAAACAGCTGGCAATGGCAAACTCTGGGGTGATGATAAAAACAAAAATAACTACTGTATCACCCCCGTGTCAACTTGCACCCAGCCAGCTTGGCCAGCTGGTGAACCTAGTTGGAGCGCTGCGTACCCGTGGTCGTTGTAACCACTTCTCAGGGCCAAAGCGGCTGTGTTCCACCTCTTGTTGCGAGAAGCCACGCGTGGCCACCTGCTCCTCCACCCGCGCTGTTCCGGTCGTCACGGAACCACTGGCATCGAGCTGCCGGGAGATGCTGGGAGAGGTGACAATGCAGTCACATCAAAAAAGCGTACTGCGGGCCAATCCAATCGCCTTGGAAAGCTTTGGGGTGCTTTTGCAGTACCCCAGCTGGGGCAGGAGGGTGCGACGGGCTCCTGCACTACTGCTGCAGCTGAAAGTGCTGCGGGGGTTGATGTAAAATCTTGTGAACTGCGAGACGAGCCACTTGCAGGACCAGGAGAGTGCACAAAGGCCCCAGGCATTCATTCCCTTCAGCATCGGCCAGAGTTTCTTGGAGACTAGATCCAGAAAATCTGGAGGCCCTGGCACACGATCGAACGGCACCGCTTCTCAACAAACGGACTTCTGACTTCTGGGCATCTTGCTGATTGGATAGGTGGTGTTTTGTCGAAACCCAAAGCCTTTCAACACGATTGCCGCCTGACAGGACACCACGATGGACAATGGATTTACAAACTTATAGTGCAAAAAAAACTATGAGTTCGGCCTATCCCGGCAGGCCTGAGATGTCAAGCCTTGCAAAGGACATGAGGATCTGCGGCATGTCATATTCCACCAACCTTTGCTTGCATCCGGTCAACTCGGCCGCCACAAGCGAAGGCTCTTCCACTGAATTCATGAAGTCGGTGTCCTTGGTCATGATTGATAGTGCTTCTCCCTTGGTTTGGCTATCGTATCCTATCACGCAACTATTGACCTGATGTATCAACGCCTGGTCATGAATAGACTGCAAGTCAACCATAACTTCCACAAAGTATGAACATACAAAATTAACTAGGCAATGGTCAAGTAGGCAGCATGCCCGCATAGTGCGAGACCCCAGCAAGCATTTGACATTTCTCGAGGTGGCGATTGCTGCAAAATGGAGAACATCCGCTGAGTCAACCCTGACACCAAATTCTGCACAAAAAGCTTGGAATCACTTGGAAGTTGCCCCACAGCCAAGATGGTGCTGGCTGCACCTTCTGCATTCATCTCCGGAATCACTGCTTCTGCTCTCTTGGCTAGACTCGGCAAAAAGTCCCTTAAACTAGGGGCCTCCCTGTGCAATTTGGAAGCTGACCAGAATATGTTCGCAACGCCTTGGGAGTCAATCTGCGCAATGATCTTAGTTGCTTGATTTACCAAGTTGGGCATCAGCAGCAAAAACTCCGGGGGTGTGTTTCGGAGCGTGGCTGCTGCCCAAATGATGTTGACAACATTCTGCTGATTCATGTTCATGACCACAGCTTCAGCCCGCTTCAACAAATCAGGGAGAACAGCGAGCAAGGCTGCCCCTCCAGTTTGTCTTTGAAGCTTGGCTGTGGCCCAAATACTGTTGCCTACGTGCTGCTCATCCATGGCTGCAACCTTGTCAGCCAACACTTCTGCAAGTAGCTCCAATTCATTCAACAGCTGTGGCACAGCCCCCGCCAACCTCGCTGCAGCCAACATAATGTTTGAAACTTCTTGCGGATTGAGCTCCTCTGCTACGTCCCTTAGTCTATATGTGACTGCATCATACTGCATACATGATTCTATGCAAGTTTGCTCTGGAGCTCAGAGCAAGCCCAAATGACATTGGCAACGTGTTGTCGGTCCATAAACAAGGCAGTGCAAGCCAGCCTCATTGAAATCTTCTTGCACTTTTGCCAAGTGCCGCTTGAAGTGTGTTCGACTTGAGAGCTTGGCGCTTGCCCAAAAAATATTTGCAGACGCCCGTGCACAGGAGCTACAATCTTGTTGCAATGACCGTTTCAAGATCCGGCGAGTATCTTGAATGAATTCGTCCAGGTAGGGATCTGAAACCACCTCTCGGGTGATGGAACGTTGCAAGCGTGCCATGGTACACCAAGCAGCTCCTACTGTGATCAAATTGTGGCTTGGGTTGCGGCGTTGACAGTGCAAGACTTGTAGCATTTCTGAGGCAGAAGCTGAACTTGTGACTCTTCGGTTGAATTCACCGCCTGATAAGTGCTCTGTTGAAGGCGGCTTGGCACTCAGTTGAGTGTGCCGTCGAGGAGCTGCATGAGCGAACTTGATCTCAAAACTGGTTGTCAGGAAACCACTGTCATACAGTGTGGGCCGTAGGAAGGCATGCAGCCCGGCCAAAACCAGAAGGAAAGCGCCATGTGTTGATTGCCTCATGATGGAGGATCCAACATGTTTGCTTCTCAGTCCCTCTGATGCTTCGCAGTGTTTAAGTTGATTGTCCCATGGCCTATGCATGTTTCAAATCAACATCATGTGAAGTTAATTGCTATTACAGCTGCGCTGTTCCCCAGGCACCCTTGAGGCTGAGACATGCATTCCGGCAACTCTGGTCAACAGTCAAACCTCTTGGCATCTGAAAGGACCTTTGGGATCTTCATTCATTTGGTGGATGGCATGTTGGCCTGTAAAGGGTCACTTAGCGACTCCAAAAAGGTAACCTTGAAAAGGCTGGACAATCAATTTCATTGGAATCTCTGCAGTTTTGATCCACCCATTTTCTGCGTAAACGATCCTGATCTGGGCACGTGTAAAGACGTACAAAAAACAACTGTCGCTGGTCAGGCGGTCAAAGCTGCATAGAGGGACAAAGCAAGGCGAAGCTAAGCCAACTACTCAGATTCTGATGACATATCATATCCACTATTCACTCCCAATTGAACTACTGAGATGCAATCCTTAAATGGATATGTCATGGATATGTCATGCAATCAAAATGCAGTCCTTCAAGTATGCCGCCACATTCTCCATTTATAAAGCAAGAGTATATACAGTAGCAAATTTTGAAGGGCGTGCTTGCTACAGTACGGAAAGCTGCCATACAAACAGGCATGCGCTTGGAAAACTGTTGTCGTCGGCCAGCTTACAAACCATGCGCTTTGGTTCTTAGTTTGCAACCATGACAATGTTTGAGTTTGGGCTCACGCAGACGCGCCCTGCCATCCACTTCAAAGATCTTCGAAGGCATTCCTCCAAAATCATTACATGGCCTGCTAAGAGTGGACTCATGGGATACCTGGAGCCACTCAGCTGTAGCTTCAGCCACTCAGCTGCTCCCAACTGGTCCGATAATCGGAGTGCACCACACACAATACCGTCCGAATACCACCCGGTTTTCCCGGAAAAGCGCGATCGGCTCCTGCTCGAAGATGGTGGCCGAATCCGCCTTCTCGTGATAGGCGTTCAAACAAAGCTTCAGGAGCCGCGCGGGCAAGCGTCCTGAGCATCGACAGTCGGCTGCCACGGTGTCCTGCACACAGTGGTTGGGATGATGTTTCGCTCCGAAGAAGGGGCGGCATACACAGGAGTGCGGGCTTGTGCCATACCCAAACAACCCGTGATCCATGTATAGAATACATGCATACACGATCCTATACTACATGATCCTACGTACATTGACCGTTGAAACCAGCCCAATGTAGGCATCCATTCCATACATGGAATGTTTGGGATGGACAACGCACAGCCCCCACCAAAGACTTCTGCACGCCTCCCCCCAAAAAGAACAATGTGAAGTCTAGCCCACCTTCTGGGGCCAAATGGTGCCTCCACCGCCGCCGGTTGACCGGTTGGGCGTGTGGACATGACACAAGGTAGCCATACAAGGAATGGAGCCGTATGGTCTTCTCCGGAGCGCCATGCGCTCGGGGCAAAACAGGAAGTAACTGAGACTCGCAAAAGATCTCAGAGATCTGTCATGATCCTCACATATCCGATCCGTGCATATCTACCCCTACTCAAGTTGCGAAGCTCGGACGCAAAGTCACGGCCTTGCCGGAACATCACGGAACTCGCGCTGTGCTCCTCATCCCTCCCGGTGGAACATCGCATGTAGGTGTGTGTGTGTGTGACGTTTTTCCAATCATGACACAGCTAACAGCTGTAGCTGGTTATAGTGATAGTACTCCAACAAACAGAGAAACAAACCATCCCTCCCGGTGGTCTTCAGCTCAATGATCAGCAATTACCACGCACCGCACGTTCGATCTCACTGCCCAGTGGCGTTCCACGAAGAACTGCCGGAGCTTGGCCTGGCACCGGGAGCTTGGCGGTGTTCGTGCCTGTCCGGGTTTCCCCAAGCTAAGGGGATTTAGTAGATGATTGAGTCGTAGTCCCCGAGCTGAACCGAAGGGGCTTACGAGCTAAATGGGCTAAAATGGACTAAGGGTCCAAGAGTATACTCATACACCAAAGGAAGGTGTAGGTCGGTCACATTTTGAGCAGCAGTTCCCTGAAGTCATGAGACATATTCCTGGGATGCCAAACGAGCCCAAGGAGGGTAGGGTGATTCCATCAGGAGCCTCGACGACTCGAACCGACGCTTAAGTTGTTGGGTATCTGTTGGTTGGCCGAAATGGTCCACCAATGGTAGCATTCCATATCCCTAAACCCCATAAGCAACCAATATGGCTGTGGGTTCAGGGCACCAGTGATACCTTGGTTGACCTATACCTGGAAGACCTGGAAGGTCTTGGTGTACTGGTCAAGCTGAAGGTTTCGACCCATCCCCATTCCAACTCACTGCCTGGACCCATCCCATCCTAAGTCACACTGGACTTCACCCGGTCCGCTGGTCCCACTCTCCGCCTCTTGGGTCAAAGAGCTCACCCGGACAGCTCTCAGGGCATTCACCGTGTTGGTGACGCCCGTGATGAACGACGAAAGCCTCGCTCTGTCGGCCGACTACGCGCGGGTTTTTTTTAAGGTGTCAACCTGGGAAGATAATCCAATCAAACTGGATTCAAATGGAGTGTCTGGGGATTGTTTGTAAGGGAGTTCTCTCTCTCTCTCTCTCGCTCGTGTTTGTTTTTTTGTGCCGAGACCAGTTGCGACTGCTGGGAAACTGCGAGCAGTATCGTCTCAGAACTATACCGGGTTCTTATATGTCTTATAATGTTTACCGTGTTCAAGTAAACTGTTCACAAACGATGTTCAAACGTTGGTAGTTTGGGGACTATGTCAAACATTGGATGGTGCCCAAACTTATGCAGGAATTAGGAACACAGGTCCAGGTGAAAATGGGTGAGAATTTGGTCCCTCCGGAACACTCCCAAGGTCCATGAATGGGCCTGAAACATTGAACACCAAGCACGGTCTGGATCAAACAACACCGGCCACAAGTGTACCCACCCCTTGGGCCCTTGCGCTCAGCGCCCGGTCGCTGGAAGGAGCCCGAAAGTGTGTGACCGGTACGGGTTGACGTTGAAAACACATCTGGTTGATGGTTTCAACTCAGTATTATATATATGTGAGTCAGTGGGATCAATCATCTCAAGTATAGCTTGAACATAAACTTCAACCACCAGCTTGAAAATAACTAAAGACTGCGTGGCTGACGGATATTTAGGTCGGTGGTTTCAAGGATGAACATGAATATAATATCTGAAGCCATCACCCAACCATCGCTGAATCCGCCAACCCGCCGTGCACGCTGCATTGTTCCTTCTGAGCACCCGGACACTCCGAACCTCGTGGCCCAGGCTGAGGGCGAAAGAACATGGTAGCCCAATGCTGCATGGCTCCCCCACCAAACCATAGTAGGTTGACATGGCTGTGGAAACCTGGAACCCATTTCACCCTGGCAGGTTGAAATTCTTGGGTTCCTTCCTCCATTCTGTTGATCTTCTGTGGTCAACCAAGGGCCCCCGGTTCGTTCCCCACAGCCACATAGAGGAAACTGTTCCTTTTCAGGGGTCTATCCAACCTCCTCTCAAAAGGAAAAACGGATTAGAAGCCGCTAAGGGGAACTCTTAGCCGCTGTGCTCAAAAGGAATTTTAACAATGGGATATGTTCCATGCCCCGTCCCTCTAGGCTAATGTCAGTCCCAGGAAGCGATCCGAACAGCCGATACCACGCAGCCAATGTAGACAGCATGCGCCCCTCCAACAAGTGGCCTTTGATGGGTCTGCGACCAACAAACTCTTGGGCTCCAATCCCCTTCTAAGAAGGTGGTTGGGGTGGGTTTGGGGGGTAGGGGTGCAGGTCTGAACAACTCAAATCATGTTTCCCTAAAGTGGATTGAGCGCCAAGTTTGATGGTTCATATGGAGCCCCATCTGTCTAATTCACTTGGGGCGAACCTACTTTGAAACCACTGTAAGGGCCAAAACAACTCCAGCCCCACCTCAAAACCGGACGACTTCGACCTGGAAAATTAATTCCCCCTCCAAACCTCACGGGTCAACCAAACGCATCGTTCCCGCTCGAACGGCGGCGGGTCGTACAACCAGCCCCAAGCGGCGAGAGCAGCACCGCCAGGATGGCATACAATCGCTCCAGCGCATGGACCGGAGAGATGTTGGTCGTGGAGGGAAGGAACCTCACCCGGGTGGGACCCACGGCTCCACGCTCTGTCCGTGTCCTTGCCGGAAAAAGGAACAGGAACGCCTTCTTCTGTACTCTGCTGCTGCTACGAGTGCGTGTTTGCAGGGCCGTGCCATGAAGGTATTTCAATACAACATGTCTTGTGCCTTCCCTTGTAATCTCATCCCTGCTCCGTTTCAAGTCAGTGAGTGTGTGGGTGCGTGCGTATCTAAGGCCATTTTAATGATCCTGTGTTCTCAACAATGGCTTAGAACAAAATATGTTTTGGGCATGACTTGGTCGGTATAATCAATGTAAACATCATGTCGTTATTCTGTGGGCATACTGTATGCCGTACTGAGATCATATTGTGTCAGCAAATAGCTCACAGCATCTCACATTTCTCTCAGCAGTCAAGTCAAATCGGACAACCAAGCATCACTTCAAATGATCACTTGCGATGAATAGGCTTCATTCATCGGCGTGTTGGGGCATGCGACCCCAGAGCCATGACTGCAAGTGACCTTCCGGTACACGGGGCATGTAATGCCCCAACAAAGCTGGGCATTGGTCATGCATGAGTAGGTGGTAGGAGCAACAAAGAAATCATGGATTTCTCCATGGCCCTGCACATGATCCAATGGAATCATCTTTTGGCAAAAGCAATCTGGAGCTTCGTCTTGCACTGCCATGAACAGGCATCCTGGTTGGCTTGGGCAACACAAAGCACTGTTGGTGCCAACATCATAGACCTTCTGCCCACAAGGCTCAGAGCAAGCGCCTTTGCCTGGAGGTGACCAAAAGCCCATGTTATACTCCTTCTTGAAGTCGCATTGGCAAATGCCTTTCACGCATTGCCCGTGTCCACTGCAGTTGTTCTGACACTTGGGGTAGCAGTTCCCATCTTCCTCCTGGTACGCAGTGTCGGCATTGCATTCACAGATCCGCTCCTGGAAGTTGCACTGGCCATAGCCGTTGCACACCCCAAGCTCGGAATTGGGACAAGTTTCAAAGTATCTGTTCAAAATCTTCAACAACTCAATGGAGGTCGGCAAGAAATCCGCAATGGATTTCAACTCTGTCTTGATGGGTGCCGGGCTCTTCTTCACGCTTGCCAGCCATTGGGTGTAATTGTGGCTGCTCGCGTCCCCACCGATGGCATAGAACTTCTGTTGAAAGGTGTACTGCGAGAATGAGTCGAATTCCTGCTGGCTGTGTTCATGACCAAACGAGACCTTAATTCCAGCCAGGCGTTTCCAAAGAGCCCTCAAATAGAACTCCCAATTGGATTTCTTCACGTTCTCATCCTTCTCAACATCAGACTTGAAAAAGACTGAAAGCCGCATTTCCCCTCCATAGGCCACACTCTTCACGTAGTGCGTGCCATAGGTTTCAAAGAAGAGGAACCATTGAGTGAAGTCCTCTTCACTCCGGGGCTTTTCAGGAAGCTTCTTCACCTTGGATTTGCATATAGCAGTCAATCAAGCATTGATATATTAAATAGAAAAATCTATAGTAAAACATTGAAAAAAACATGTTCCCCGTACAGGGAAATCACCCAAACATCAGGGCAAGCAAAACCAGGTCACTGCATTGCGAAAGGACTCTGCCAAGCGTGCTCCGGCATCCTGGGACAAGTGCTTTGTGTATACAATGTACCTACTAGAGCTCTCAGCATAGTAGTTCGAAGAGCTGTGCGCACTCATCTGCTGCGCCAAGCTGCGGTACTTTGCCCCAGCTGAGAAGATGCGCCCCAGTTGCGGAAGTGGGCCGGACAAACCAAAATCCCACGCATCCCGGGTGGAAATATCAGAGACGCTCTGCGAGAAAGTCACCCGTGTACCCTCGTCTCGGTGCTCAATGTAGTCTGTTTTCACTTCTTCATCTGTCACATTGAATAGGCCAAGTGGATTGTAGTCCTCACCAGCGTATAGTGGTAGTTGCACCGGATTGCAGGAGTCTCCGGTCAAAACGTTGCACTGGGCACCAATATACTTTGCTACTGTACTCTCAGGCTTTGAAGGATGGTTACAACCCTGCAGGAAAATCACGAAGGAAAGCACCAGAGCCCCAAAGCACATGCTGACAGGCGCCGACATCATGCCTCTAGATAAGTCTCTTCGCCGCTTTGAGCCGGGCCCCATCACCAACAGCAGCGACAAAAGACCATGGACTCGGCTCGGCCGCTCCACCAAACAAGGACCTAAGAACCAGCACCCGACTTCACCGGTGTTACCTGGCGACTTCACCGGTGTCCAGAAAACACCTGTGGTCGGGTCTAACAGCCTGGCCAGGAGGGTCCTGGTGAGACATCTCCGAGTCTCCGATTTGATGGGTCAGTCATGCAACACGTCCGAGTCTGTGAACTCCGAACAAGACCCCGACTCACTGACAGTGTCAGGCAAGTGCTGTTCGCTCAGGGCCTGAACACACACGAAGTGCTGTTTCCTCTCCTTAGGGATCCAGTCGTACCGAACCTCAGGTACGGCACTTGGACCCTCCAAACCTACATAACAGTGTCTCCAATCTGGGAAAAAAGCTCACCTCCACTCCTAAGGATCGGAGGCAGGCTCCAGCTCGCACTCAGGTAACTCCCGGCCCCCGAGTCGAAGGTCGCAGCCAAGGGACTGTGCGATGGCCCAGTGGAAGGAATACACATACCTCAACCGACCCGGCCATTCGTTCGGTGCGGGCCGTGTGCGGCGCCGTTGTCTGGGCCGGTCGTCCGAAGCCCCGACGGGGGGGATAATGATGAACGATGTGGGAGTGTGCTCGAGTCAGTCGGGGTCACCCATGAGACCAATAACATCATCATCAATCCGCCAGGATTTGTTGAGATTCATTGAGGAAAGTTGGGTTACAAAACCATGGGGGAAACCTCTTCTGCCGGGGGTTATGAGTAAAATTTAAAGAGTCTATAGATGACCTGACCTCACTTCAAAATCGTCCATCCACCATCCACCCACCCCATTCAAACCTGGCAGCTCGCGCTGGAATCGAGCGCAAGTACAAAGAGGTTGAACAGCCCTACAGCCTATCCATTCCTATCCGTTGGGGTCCCAGTTCAGGTCTCTCAACCTCGCTTGGGAAGACTGAATGGGTGAGGGGAAGCTTGTGATCCGATGCGTATGGTGAAGCCCTCAAGGACCAGCATGGACCAGCTATGATCGAAACAACATCCTTCAACTGAAAACCCGGCTTTCGTGACTTAGATCCAACTGCCACCAAGCATCACCCTGTCTGGGAGTGGCCAATGTGCTGATCAGTTAGGGTGGTCGGTTTTCGTCGTAGCTTCCGAAGGTCCACCAACTGGGTCACCAATTCCAACCCGTTTTCAGTTCGAGAGTTGAGGCCCAACAACGAACCCTCAGAAATGAGGAGACCAACTCCGACCAGTACATGGAGCTGTACGGAGTCGAACTTGAGCGGCCCGGGGGGGGTTCCGGCTCCATTCTTCTGCTTTTTGTTCGCCACGTGCTTGCAACCCCGAGGTGCTGTTCGGAGAAGCCTTTGTCCGCGAGCTGGAACTCCTCCAACCAGGTGTGACCCGGGTAGTACACGCCTTGGACCACTGGAGGCCGAGCTGCACGCGTTTCACGCCGCGAAAACAGCACGCCGGTGCCGGTGAGTTGACCCCAGCAAAGCCAATCACGCCCTAGAATTCCAACCACTGCAATAGCCGTAGCCTTGACCAAACAATCGTTGTTTTTACTGCTGGATCTTACTGCACCCAGCAGACTCAGAAAGACCCATCAGTTGGCTTTAAAAAGCTATATGGGTCATGGCACCACTGGAGCGGGCCAAACCCCCCAGGGTCAGTTCTGAACAAATTCCTCTACTGTCTTTTTTTCCCAAGGATGGGAAAACCTGTCAACCCATGGTGAGGTGCCATGATGGTGGGTGAGGTGCCATGACCCAACCCACAGTCGCCTGGTTCCAATTTCGGATGACCATGCATTCCGAAGACCAAACAAATGGTTTTCACTCCACTTCCACCATGATTTCAGGCATTGCGGCAGTGTATACTACATGACTCAATGATCTTACTGACTATAGATGGGGTCAATGAATATGGTGAACTGGATGCTTTTGAGAAGTCCAGGTAGGATTTGCTCAGCTGGAAGCCCTCCACCTCCTTGGAGCTTCCCTCCGAGCGGCCCAAGACCAACCAACCGATCCTCAGGCACTGAGCGAAAGCTGAGCTTCTGAGGGAAGGCTGAGCGCTTCAACTTTGATGGAAAAGAACGGCAGGTGTCCATTTTTAGGCGAGGCAGCTGATGGAAAGTAAAATACCTCGCACTTCCTGTCTGAGTGTCCTGACTGGAGACCTATATAAGATTTTATGTAATAAGTAGTGTAGGGGCGACCTTTTTCGCCAGGTGACCCCTGAGTTCGAAAGTCCCTCTGACCCATTCTCTCGGTCAACAAGTGTGGCAATTGCCATGAGCAAATCCATAGAGGGAAGGTCTAGGAGGGTCTTGTTTGTAGAGGCTTAGGCTTCAACTCTGCACAAAGCCCAAAACCAAGCTGTTGAAGTGATCACCCTGGTCACATGTTTTTCACAGCGGTCCATCCAATGAAAGCCGCGATAGCCTCTCAATTTTGCAAAATCAACCAACACAAGAAGAATGGAACATCTTGAAGTCGTAATTTTAAACTGTACAGAGTCAAGTCAAGTGGGAATACCAATTCCCCAGGCGATTGCTAGAAACCAGAAAGGATTTAGTATGACAAACCCCAACATCGCTGGACCTACAAGGCATTCTGAGCGCATGGAAACCACCAAAGCCATCGACTCAAAACCTGAAGCCCTTGAAGCCTTGGCTTCCAACAATGCCCAGACACTCCATGTATGCCAATATGCCTACATTGGGGTGGTTTGAGGGGTCAATGTAGGCATGTATGGCATACATGGAGTGTCTGGGATGTAGACTCCTGATGAATAAACTCTCCCTTCATTTGGGTTGTAAAGCTCTTCATATGGTCGATCACAAGTCTACATTGCTTTCTTTGAGAGTTAGGACCAGTTAGGAACCCCTGGCCCTAGCCTACATCACTATTGAAGGAAACCCTGCACCTAAAACTGGTGGCATCTGCGAGAGTTAAGAGCCAGTGTCCCCACCATTGGAGGAAGAAACTCTACATGTATAACCGTTTCATAGCAGTCTGCAGAAAGAAGAAACAACGTGTAACGTGGAACATATTGTCACTGTATTGATGAAGGTTCTGAAGTTTTGCCAAGTCTTCATATATTTCAGGCTCATTTCCTGAAACCTTCAAGGTGGGCTGGAGTCTGGAATTATATTCTTGAGGTCTACTCTAGTAGAAGTGAAGAAACTACATTTACATATTTTGGAGAAATCCTCCATCATCACCAGTTTTTTTGGATTTCTTGGTTGTTTGGTTGGCCTGGAGAAAATATACGGCGCGCCATCTGCGCCCCAGATGCGTGACGTAGTGGTTGATCACCAGGATGATGACGATGCCCTTCATCATCTGCATGGCCATCCAAAAGTACACCCTGAGTCGTCAGTGCCGAGACGTCGACGAGGTGGGGCACCGACCAACGAAATGTTCGGAGTTGAAAAGTCGAAGCGTTGCGCACTCGAACCCACAGTGTGTAAAGAGCCAATGTCCACCTTGGTGGTGACGATGAAAAATAAATCGGCGGTGTTTCAGGAATTCGCCATCACGATGGTTGAAGAGTTTCCAAGACTTTCACTGAATGAGTCGGATTGTGCGCTTTTCTCATCTTCCCCCAATATATCTACCTACCTGCCCTGTTGGTACCCGCAAGCACCTTAATAGCGAACCGCTGAGCAGGTCAACTCGTCAGATGCCCGAGGATCACAGTTGCCAGGTCTTCTAGGTCTATGGTTCTATTATGTTTTAGCCTCTGGAACCGGCAGTTGCCCAAGAAAGAAGTGGCAACCGGAAGAACATCAACAGCTTGCAGCATTCACAAACGTTCCCAGAAGTCATTCTGGGTCAGATTTTCAGTGACTGGGGCCTTGCAAGGTTTCTGAGAATGTCATTGAATACCAGCACCCTCCAACAGGTCCCTCGTTGGAGGGTTCTTAAGGCTTCACAGGTCTCAATTGGTGACTTGGCAGTGAGAGTGCTTGTATAGTTGAATAACATTGGGTGGACAGTGGACAGTGTGTATGGACATTGCCAATCTATGTATATTCTGGACACCTCTTAGTGAAGTCGACACATATTTACACCCTCCTTGTGGAGCCCAACTGTTCCTTGTCTCGAGCCCATCTCCACCCTGCCCCCATGCCACTGGGGCCCGTCGTAATCCCCGTGCCCAGCGAGACACGAGGTGAACCGCGTGAGGATCGAGACCAAGGTCTTTTGCACGCGGCTCAGTCGAAGCAATCCTCGGCCAAGGTCACTCGGCAGGGTCCGAAGCAGCTGAGTCGACCGCAGGGTCCGAAGCGGGCCCCAAATTAAATCCACGCCCTTGAAGGTGCAAGTCTAGTTGTGCTAAGTTTTGGAAATACACAGTGAAGTTCTGATATTGAAAGATCAAGTGTTCCAACACTCCAAGCCAACCACCAAGGAGTGGCACTCCACCATCCAAAGGGTTCCCCATCCAACCTGGCAATGTAGACTCTTGATTAGGAATACCTCTCATTTGAATTGGACATCCTCTTCATATGGGGGGTTAATGAATCAAGGGTCCACACCAAGTTGTGGGATGATGCTGTGCCAGGACCTCCTTTTTGTCCGATGTCCTCCCCACGTGTCTTTGCTGCCCTCGACAAGTTCTCTGGTCAGTCTACAAACTTAAAAACTGGGACAGCTGAGGTGAAGCGTTCGCTGACAAGAATCACTCCGGGAGGGTTATAAGTTATAACAACAATAACGTGTAGAACGAAGACCCAATTCACATGATCTTCTGAAGTTACCTTGATCTTCCCATGTCCTGAAGCACGGTCGACCGTAGAAAAAGCGTCCAAACGCAGGGTCCAGTCGGCCTGTCGAGCGCCTTTCGTCCCCCAAACCAACTTGTTTGAGGGTTGCGGTAGTGCATATGAGACTGTCTTAGCCGCCTGCGCATACCCAGCTCCATCCACCGCACACGCACGTTCGTACGCGTGCCCGCGCGGTGGAAGCGATGCGCAAGCGAAGCTATATAGATGTTCCTCGCCGAGGCGCGGAAGAACCTGAGCCGTCTGCTTCGGGGAATGGCATGTCCCAGGGAGGGAGAAACAAACACCTATTTGTGGTGATTCAGCAGAATTACATTATGATTATCATGAATTGCATGAAGGCGTTGTCACCATCAAGTGGCGCTAGTGTCCCAGAACGACCAATGTTGCCAAATGGTTGTTATCCCTTTATTTTGATATTTTCTTAGCCCTGGGGTTTGGAGTGTTTTGAGTAAGGTGGTCCGCGACCAAATCTGATACAGTTGCTGTAACTGTGGCTGAACATGTCACAGCACAAGGATGCCTAACCTTTCGGTCAACCTCAGCAGTCCTGCATGTTGTTGCCACCCCTAGCTGACCCCGACCTTCGAGTCCTCTTAAAACAGAACGCGGACACATGCTATATGATATCTTGCCAAACTCTACCCCGTAGTTTCTTTTTGGGGGGGAGGGAGATCTTTTCCGGCACTTCCATGTTCCCAGTCTCTTCTCTTCCCCCGAAGTCATGCACCGCGTCGTTCTTACGAAGCGATTCGCGCCTCAACAGGCGCAGCACCCGGATGAGGCGCACCGAGTTGAGCCCCGTGGTGGTGGTGCGGTTCCGGATGTGGATCTCCGCCGAGAAGAGGCCTAGAGGCGAGGCGGCTCGGATACAGCGGAGGAGGGCGGAGGAGGAGCGTGGCTCGGAGCGTGGCGAGGCAAGCATCGAGGTGCAAGGGGTGTGAGTCGACATTTGGTAAGGAGATGTGAGGAGGGGGGCTTCTGAAATCTTCTGAAGCTAGTTAGAGTGATCTCTAGACTCCGGTTGAAGACTCCAAAAATGTATGATCTGTTCTTACCTTAAACACAAAAAGGGGGGTCTCATCATATCTGGGTTCCCAGGACCTGGAGATGCAAGTCCATGTGGAAGTAAGTGAATGTTCATTCTTCTGAACCAACGCAGGGTAGTCACGGGCAGTCTTGCCACCTCCGCATTCTACAGAAGCCTCAAATCTGTCCAGCTTGCTGGAGCTAGGCACACTTGGCGTGCGCCAGCAGCGGGCGCGGTTGCAGGGGAATGCTTAATTACGCGACAAAAAACCACCTGATGGACCTGTGTTCGTAGGGTTTCCAGTCAGCACAACTTGACAATCGCACCCGGCTGGTGTCATACAGGGGTGGGGACCTGAGTCACGAAAAACGACATGCTAAGAACCAACAAAATCAATCAAAATCCAACAAAAAGCAGTTGTGGGAGTTCAAAAAGCATAAGCTTACTCATAAGCTTCATTGCGCATGATGGGTTTCATGCCTTTCATCGACCACCAAACCAACCCAGCCACAACTTCTCTCCGAGCGTCCGATGTCCAAGCCTGACGAGACCCAGGTTCGACTGCTGTTGGGGCTCATTTCATCGGTTGACCCAGGGGAGTCCGGCCATCTGCGAGGTTGGCAGGCTCTGATGGGGAGATCTCAATCATCTGATCTGGAACCAGAAGACAAACAAAAATCACCAGAAGGAGAAGGGGCTTCATGGGGTTGGCGTAAACATCACTCGATCCACAAGACCAGGAGACAATGACAGGGGAAGTTTCTGAATACCTATAGCCTGTAGCAACTATCAGCCAATAGGCCACAACGTGCTTGCCATGGGTTTCTTCAAGGAGACAGAGATTCGCACAATTTGGGCTTACGAAGCAACCCAATTCTCCAATGAGTTAGATTTCTGTGTCTGATGGTCTGTGAGTGGCAATGATATTTCCTCTACCTGTACCTCTAATCTTTGGTCTCAGTGCATGCCACGAGCAAAAGAACCGCCACAAGTAGAAGCTCTGCTCCACGACACCCCAACACCCGCCGCCCACTGCTCATGCGCCGGCCTAGTAGTAGCAAGTCCTGAGTGTCAGGCTGCATGAGGAAGTGAAGCAGCCATTGCAGGAACTTGTTCGAAGCCCTCAAACACTTCAAACATAGAAATTAGTAAGGAAGATCGCCTTCCAGGGACTGATTTTCACAGCTGGTGTTGGCTTGCAAGATGTCAAAATGCAATAAATACACTCCCTATAATAAGTTTCAATACATGAGTATGCATTCTTACTCGATCCCCCCAAATTCTTGTCTCGAGGGTCATACTGAGACGCCATTGAAACTTGAATCTGCCATGTACTACGCTTCCAGATCCAAGGGCTGCATGCGAACCTTACCACTGCCCCACTCATGGGTGAGTGGCAACCATTTACACTCCCTGACATCATGGACACGCCAAACTCCCCAAGCACTGTGCCAAACTCGAGGAATTCGCTGGTCGTCCGATCCAACGGGGTGCCATTTTGCCATGCCACGTCCTTTCCATGGCACGTCCTTGTCAGGGAGTGGGCCGGGCGGCCGGGCTACAAGGAAGACATGAACTAGCGGCTTTTGTTTCTGCGCCGGTAGATCTGGAAGGGAGACCCTCTCATGCAAGGCAAAGCAAAGAAGTGCCTCCACCACCACAGCCATGCCCTGCAAAGGTGAATCCAAGCTGCTAAGAACATCCAGCCGCTCCTCGCGTAGAGCAGCGCCACATTTTTAAGCCTGCCAGGTGGCTACGTGGAGGGCGACAGCACCAAGGCGGCAACAACAAAAAGCATTCCAAGTACCTGAGTAGGGCTGGTGAAAGTAACCTGCATCTTGCATTGACAACATGCCCAAGCTTTGTTATAGTAATGCATGGAAAACATGGGAAACCGATGGAAACCTAACATTCTCCAGGAAATAAGCTGATTCCAGTAACATACTTTGCCGATTTGATCAGACACATGGAGCTTCAAAGCAAACATGTAGAAAACAAACGTTCATGCTGCTCTCTTGCTGCTTGACCATTTGCGTCTGATGTGTTCTTCTGGGAGCTCTCTTCTCTATCTTTTCTCTATTGCATGATCATCTTCAGTCTGACCCGAGTCTTGTGTGGAGGAGACTCATGTTCTGTCGGCCTTGGGCGCCAATTCTGATTCGCTTCTCCATGCGCCCATTGAAATGGTCGGTGTTTGGGTGGATGAACCCCCAAAAAAGAGGTGTCCGGTGTCCTGTAGAAATAGGTCGATGTTCCCTTAACACCGTTCCATTGAACCTGTTGCTCTCCGCAGATATGTCGCTCCCACTCCCCCCCTCCAGCGTCCTTACGCCCCCTTGGGCGCCTCAGGTCCATTGCGTTGTTGGTGTTGTCCTGAGCAGGTTGGAAGCTCGGTGTCTCCAATGGAGAACGCTCGAAGCAACGGCTTGGAGGCTCGATGCACTTCCGGTAAACATATACGTTGGTTGTGCCACAACGGTTGGCTTTTTGGGGGTAGGGTATGAATCAATTTGCCCAGCTCAGCTTTCTTCATCTATTATACTATAGAACATCTTCATGAGCACAGCTGGTGGCACTTTGCCAGTTGCGTTTGATGCGGTAACACACAAACATGAGCCCCAAACTACACAGCTGTGATCCGATATGATTGCAAGTGAACACTTGGATTATCTTGGATTTCCTTAAGGAATCAATCCCAAACTTCCCCAGAAGAGAATGCAGTCACATGTATTGTTCTCACACAACCACTGGTCTTCATGGTGGCTCTGAATGATCTATGGTCGAATTCTTGAAAAAAGCACCTCTTGGCATAAAGGATCTATATTGTCATGGAATAGCTCTTGTCCTCTTGTATTGTTCTCAATGAGAGCCCGAATTCTGGCTACAAAAGCATAGCCCGATCCATCAGCAAGGGACAAGATCTACCAGACTGCGGCCCATGTGTTTGGGCTTCATGCACATGGTGAGCCCAGTCATGCTGAAGTACAGTAGATGGCTCCAACAAGCAAATGGAATCAAGAGTGTTCCTTGGCGCTTAACATGTGCTCCAATCTTACTTGTGAATCCTCGTTAGTTGTGTAGAACTTGCAAAGTGAGAAGAACAAAAACACAAACAAACAAAGCGCGCCCACCCTCTCCACGTCCCTCTCTTCGCGAGATCGCCGGAATCTCAAGCCAAGGATCTGGAGCACTGAAGAACTGAAGAACAAAGTCCAAGATCCAATAGCCAAAAACCTCAGAGAACATACTAGCTTTGGCATCTGCTATTCTCGTCTGGGAGTCTGGGGGCAACCCTGCCTCTCAAACCCTCAACAAAACCCTGGTAAACATACGGATGCTACTGTGCTCAAGCTGAATCATTGGAAACTATAACATGGCATACAACTTACTGAGCATACACATTCCGTGTCTGTGTGCAGTGTGCCACATCTTGGGTACTCTAACTTTGGATTGCCAACCTAATCCCCTCCCCATTTCGCACCCAAGCGGCCAGGATCGTCGCGACCTGCAAGACCTCTTGGAAGGTCGGAGACCTGAGGCAAGTCAGATCATCAATGGGGTAAATGTACTTATACCCTAGGGCTCCAACCACCTCCTGACAAGGTGGTTGGGGTGGGTTTTGGGGTCTAACCATCTTCTGAGGATATGGTTGGAGCCCTAGGGTTAAGCAAGTACCTGGAGTCGACCTGTTGGTACCCTAGAAAATGGGTACAAAGACCTGTTTTTATTATGGGGTCATGTCTCATTTTCTATGATACTTCGGAGGGTCCAGGCAGGAGAGCTCCTGAAACCGAGCACACACTCGTGGGGCCAGTCTGCGGCCAAAGGGGCACGCTCTCGAAGGCTTGCACCGGGATAAAAACCTGTGGCCATGGGGATGTGTCAAACTGGCGCTTGCGGCGAAGGATGTCACGACTCACTCCCAAACACAACCCATTGGGACAGGCACATGGACCGATGAGTTGGGGTGGTTGAAAAGGGATCACTGTATACGGTGTGTATATATATAATAGATACATACCAGTAATACATGTCATACATGGAGCATCTGGAAACGGCTGATGTTGAGAAATCCACTGGTTGACCTCCTAAAAATACTGGTGCAACGTCCAGGACCATGCATCATATAGTGGCCCAGGTATTGATAGGCGCAAGCCACACGAAATTGGACATCTATACGCAGCTTGAATCAACAACCCTCCCAATAATAAGCATCACGATTGTGCCTGTGATACTTAGCAACAATTAAGCAACAAAGGCAAGGTTCTGAAACGTGTCAAACATTGTCGCATTGATATGTCCCCTTGGAACAATGTGATGTGGGTGAAAAACTGAACGAGGGTGGCCACACTGCACCGTTGTACCTTCCTGCAATGTTAGTTAAAACAACGGTCATGTCGTGGCAATTTCTTTGGAAAGCAAATTCTTATGGTCTCAGTTCCACTTATCCCAATTCAAGTCAGGGAAATAGCATCTTCTGGGAGAATCTCAGGTAGGTCGCTGCAGCATATCGGACCAAAGGTTGCAATGCGTCAGCCTGTTGGACTTCATGCTGGCAGATGAACGCAATAACCAGTTCATACTTCCTGCCATGATTCTTGTGGAGTGCGCGGTGGCCCTTATAGTATTATAGGTCTGCTTCGAGCCCTTCCAGAAACTTACGAAGTTGATCCAGCAACTTCGAAAATAGATGCCTTCAACTTCGACATCATTCTACATGGGAGCTTCAAACATATAATAGCTCTGAATATCACCGAATACCACAAACAAACAAAAACAACTCTTGTGAACCTTCCCACCCATCCCATCTTTCACGCACCCATCGTGTGAAAAACCCTACGTGTCGAGCTGAGCGTTGGGCACCACGTCTCGCGCGTCGAAGCGTCGCGTCGAACGAAGCGTCGCGAGCGTCCCGGGCACCACGTCCCAGGTAATCGCCAGGAGCCCCACGATGGACATGACCTGAGAGGATAACCCGGGTGGCGGCCGATAGGCCAAAAGCGATCAAAACACCGTGATCTGATCCATGCGATCTTCATATTGTAAGATTAACATCTGGAATCTTCCGTGATATTGTGGTCTTTCTTCCGTGGTTAACATTAATATGGTTCCATGTTAATCTTCCGTGATCTGATCCACACCGTATATATTTACACCCTGGAAGATTCACATGGAAACCCCAAAACCATTCGGTGTTAAAGGAAAGTAGTCTTCCAAAGGTCCATTCTCAGGTTCCATGTTAATCTTCGGGGGTGTATATACGAATAACGGTTTGAAGGGATAAACTGACCTTCTTAAGTTAAATGCAATTCAATGAGAGTGATCCTGGTGCAAGGGTCATGGGTTTCACCCCCACAAGCTATGGGTTTCCTATAGATGTTTCTCCTATCAATCTGGCACTGGGAAGTGAAAGCGTCCATCTGAGCAAGATAGAGACCAGTGCGTACTGGAGTTCCATCGTTACCAGGGTTCATCCTGTTTGTTGACCATGTCGGTAGGAGTTCTCACAGGGTGCACAAATTCTAACATGCTATAACAAAGAGAGCCCTGTCCATCCAAAGGTGATGCATCACCAAAGAGTTTGCCCCTTGGAACTGGATGGGAGACGATTTTCCTCTACTAGGTGTGGGCTATGTTGGGGTACCCCCTACCTGTAACCTACACTCTCCAAAGAGATCCTCCAGCCGGAACACCCCGAACAGATCGTCCAGGATCGTTGAACACCCGTCTCGTGAGGTCACACAAGTGCCAAACAAAAATCAACAGCTGTGCAGGATTCATCCACCCTTCTCTCCAGAAATCGCCCCCTCCCAGCCGCCACGAGAGGCGTATCGTCGCGTCACTTCGTCGCACCCAGCGGCCAAACGGACATTGCTCTGGGGCGGCAGCACGCATAGACAATCCGAGCCTGGCCAGGGTGGCATGAGCTTCATTGTTCGAGCGGCTGCTGTACTGACACCCCTATGCCGGCAAACCCCTGGAAAGTAGAGGCGGAACCTGAAGTGTCCACCAGTTTTTTCTTCGCGGCGGAAACAAAATTACAATAAACACAATGCAGGTTATATATCCTCTTCTCCTGGGTAGGGTTATGGGGATTCTCATCCCCCCACCAATTACCTCTCCAATTACCTCTCCATGCATGAACCCCTCCATGTAGTGTACAACTCTCTCTCTCTCTCTCTCTGTATATGTGTATATATATATAGAGAGAGAGAGATATGTAAATAGCTGTAGTCATAGCTGTATGAACCCTCTCCTTTGTGTACACCACCTCAATGTTGTCTATTTATTTGAAGGGGGTGGGGGGTGATCATCACTGGGAAAGGCCTGGACTAGCCATCATCCATTGGCAATGACAGGCAATGGGATTGATATACCCAAGTCCCAAGCATCATGAGAACCCCCTTCAGTTTTTGGCGCAGCATGGCACACGCCCGGATCCCAGTTACCACGCAACCATCATTCGCCAGACTCGGTCGGACCACTGTCCTTGGTGACTCAGTCCTGTGGATCGAATGCTTCCCACCTTGCTGGATGGCCATGGCGGCCCCTCGCTTGCTGTGGCGCCGCATCCGTCCTGAAGAGACGCCAAGGTGGGGGACTTAGGGAGTAGAAAGTCTGACCTGGGGGAAACCAATTGGGAACAAACAATCGTCAGCAAAGCAGGGTCCCAAATAAGTAGCTTTGACATTGACATTTGGACCGAAACAATTAAGTTAAGATGTCTCAAAATGTCTCACATATCTCAAATCATTTCAAATTTGACAACAGCCAAGTCTTGCATGAGAGCAACTTTTGAATTTAGAAGCTGTTCTGGGGGCCAAGTCCACTGCCCATCGCCCAAGCAAGTGCGATGTGCTAAGAGCTGCCCCTTGCACCATCGAAATTTAAAGAGCCACATCTGCCTTCATTTCAACCAATGAATCTGTCCAAACAAGCCTGTGGAACTAACTTTGGGGATCCTCCTGCGAATTGCAAATGTAGCACCCGCCAAAGAACCCCAAACATAGAAACAACAAAACAAAACATTAAACATGTTTCAAAAACTACCCGGCAAAAGACCCCGGACAGTGTATCTAAGGTCTAGAGGTGGTGATGATGGCGATGGTGATGGTGAAGAAATCCGTGTGCACATACTTGGTCTTAGTGATGTCCGGAGATCTCCAGTCCCAAGGGCAAACAGGTTGAACATGACCGTGCTTTTGCCAGTGTGATCCCTTTCCCCATGATTGGCCCCACATGCTCAAGCCATGTGAGGTGAAAACATCATCCAAAACGTCCGGACATTGGTGGTGACAATGGGTGTGAGGACCACTTCAGCGATGCTTCCACCATGGGCAGCGACCGCTCGCATTGAAGTCGGATGCGCGAACCCACCACTTGCAAATCGGAGAAGATCCGCCCCTGGCAGCGCCTGCCACAAAATCTGCATTTCAAGGTCCACAAAGCGCGGCGCCTGCCACAAAATCTGCACTTCAAGGTTCACAAAATAATCACCTGCAACGAAGACTGCACTTCCAAGTGCACAAAGCACTGCCCCTGCCACGAAATCTGCACTTCAAGGTCCACAAAGTACTGCGCCTGCCATAGTACAAATCCTGTGCCAGAGTGGCCACTCAGATGTACCTCCTGACTCATCACCAAATGGAATTGGTTGCTCACATGGCCATAGAGTAGTGGCATCAACAGTCACAATAAACATCACTGTGATGATGGTCAAGAAGGTCGTAGCGGACTTAGGATCAAATGTTGGCACAGTCGGGCCTGGTTAGCACCCAGCAGATCGCGAACTTTGAAAGCCGAATGCTTCACCACCGATGTGGTCCTTAAAGTTTTGGGCTTTCGCCCAGAAGTTGTACGCCGACCACCTTGTGCACTGGGCTTCTTCTTGACCATTCTGCTTCAGAAAGCCAAAGGAAGGTCGGGAAGATCGCAGGATCCCCCAAGATTACCCCGGAGGGCCCTTAGGCTATCTGAAATGTAATTGCGTTATAAGATGTTATAAGCTAAGCTGTTGTGGCTACTGTATGCCGTGTTGAAGAGTTGGCCATAGTGGGACTGTAAGCGGGTTTTCGTGCTAAATATGCTACCATGGACCTGTATCAAGCACACGGTCTCGCCGATGTTCTGAATAACAAACTGGTGTCCACAGTCCAAGTTGGCTTGAAGGGGAGTGTGTTTTCATGTCTCGTGGACGGTATTATTCGAGCGTTGTTCAAACCAGTCGAGAATTTGTTCTAATGCTCTTCTTTCGCATGCTCCTTTCGTAGCAACACTTTCGCGGCGTGCGTTTTTGGTTTTCGCGAGCTGCGTTCAGCGCAACAAATACTGTATGTGTTTTGCATACTGTTGCAAGCTTTTGCGGACGGAACGGATGTCGCAAGCTTTGCAAGATTCCCCAGTGCAAGTGTTCACGCATGAAAAGTTTGTGAAATCTTCCGCGACTGCAGTTTAGTTTTTTTTTTTCCAGGCATCATATCGTGTCCCGTTCTTCAAATCTTTACTTAGGGAAGTTTTGACCACTGCTCAATTTGCTCTCAAGACTGCAAGAGAAAAGGCAAAGTGTGCACTCCTGTCATGTCCACGTACCAATTACCTCACAAACACTACACCCCAAATAATCTCTTGTAGCAATGGTTGGGACCATCAAATCAAAACCATTCAAAACCCGACTTGAATTAGGACATGACTGTCTTCATGGATCACTCACTTGGCAAAGAATTTCTCCCCCTGTCTCTGTCTCCCAGTAACCCCCCCCCCTGCCGGACCCCGCGTCTCCGCGTCTCTGGGCCGTCTAAAACGGTCGCCTCCATCCTCCGTCTGGTTCACCGGCATCGCTGGCCGGCGACCTGGCGAGGAGTGTCCACGTCTGAGTTGGAAGAGGTCTTTCAATTGAGGACGTTAGGGTTTAGGGTTTTGGGAGGTGTGTTGATGTATTTGGAGGTTATAGGGGTTTGATGTCTTTGTTGATGTATTTGGGAGGGTTTTTAGGAGGTTCGGTGATGTTTTTTGAGAGGTGTGTTTCTTCCTGTGCTTTGGTGAAAGCCTTTCTGAGGGCGCGAAGGAGCAGCAAATATACGAAGAGAGGTTGGTTGAGAGAAGTGGGGCCCGATATATAGTCGTACATATAGGATAGGTCGGATAGGCACCTTTCGCCACTCTACGGGTACACAAAAACACGTGCTTTACACAATGACATGTGATTGCGATTTGACCTTTCGTCAATGAGTGGAGTTTCTTGATCTAACCTCTCGACGATTCCCAATGTGAAAGCCCGCAGCTCCTCACTTGGTGGTATACTTTGTTTTATACCCAAGACTGTCTTCAAAAAAAGAACTTACCAACAAGAAGTGAATCTAAAACCTACTTAAAGTGATTGTATATAGGTTTGACCTGCTGAAGTGAAAGGACCAGCTTTGTCCGAGTTGCTGTTGCACCTGTTGCTAAGTATGAAGGCTCTGAGCCAAACTTGACCTTTGAACAGCTTTGAACCAGCTCCACCACTTTGGATGAGAAACTTCAGATTCGCAAACCCTGCGGGAAGGACCAGCCTTGCCCAGTGGTGGCGGCGGTGACCCAATCCGCGTGCAAGGACAAAGCCTCCGCAAGCAAAAACAAGGCAATGGACATCATTTCACAGCGGTTCCAGGGCTCAACCATAGCGGTTCCAGGGCTCAATCCAGTCCCAAATCGAGTAATTTTGGGCTATGTGGATGGCTATGGATGGAAAAAGAGTCCTTGGCATAGTCCTTCACACGGGTCCACGTACACCTCTCCCCAAGGCCATTCTGCGCACTTTCTGATCAATGTCTTGTGGTCTCTTGGCAGCTCCAAAGCCTTTTCCATAACACCAACCGATGTGCCTCAAAATAGGCTCCGGTCGCAGTGAATTCCAGGAGTCAGTGCCCTTTAAGGGAACTGCCTCCTACAAGGTGTCCTTTTCTACAAGCATGTCTGGAATAATGACGGGATCTCATGAGTGCTGGGTGAGGGACGATATAACTTGAGTGACTTACCCTGATCTCATGAACTAATTACCCCACATGAACTCTGAGGGATTTAGAATATCAGCTCTTTGTCACAATGTGCCACACAGCCTCTCTAGGACACCAGGACACTGGCCGAGCCCGGTCCTGTCAATCCCACTGCTGCCCGGTCTAAGATGTTCCATGCGCGAATGAGATGCGGAGGATGTGAGAGCAGTTGACACTTCATGGAGGCTGAACATGCAAGTGATTCTCAAATTTGTGGATGGGGTCTGCTCAGGCTACTCCAAGCCGTTAACATGGAAGTGGGCAGTAGGTGCTGAAGGCCCCGCAGGCTATCAAATCCCTCCAGATTTGAAGCATTGCGCACCATGGATTCCACACTTACAGGACCTATTGTAGATGTTACCAGCTACATCTTCAGCAATCCCAAACGTCAATCACTTCTCTCAGCTCCTCACTCACGTTCACTTTGCACCGGCGCCACCGTCAGAGGTGCGGCATCTGGTCGGGTCCCTTGAGGAGCTTCCGCACCAAGCGTTGGCAGCTCACGCGCCCAAGGCCGTCCTTCGGAAGGCCTGTCCTTAGGTGAAAGGGACGAGGAGACAGGGCGACCACCGACGTCGGGGACCGTGATCGAGCCTGTCCGTGCCGTGGGGTGGGCGTTTCTGGAGGGAGATGGATCCATGTTTGGTACAAGCCAGGTGCTAAACATATGCGGTAAAATTGCATTGACGGTCAGCAAACTGACCCTCTGCAAAGTGGACTTCTGGCATGCCGTCATTGCCAAAGAAATAATGGTAAAATATGGTAAACAGTGAGTGGATGAGGGCCATGCCCGCCCCAATCACCCTGAAATGCAGGCAGCTTTGCTAGTGGTAGATCGATATCCTCAACCGTGGGATTGGGCGATGGTGTTTCCTCAACTTCGCCTCCATAACAGCACATTGCCCAGCAAGCCATCGCTTGGTGCTGGCTCTACGTCTTTTCTTCCCGCTGGCGAGATTGGAGTCACCGAGGGTGTGGAACACTTGTGCAGCAAAGAAGTGAGCCTGCTGGCTTCCTCCTTGCGTTACTTGTCGACGCTTGATGGGATATCGAACAAGGGAACCACAAAAAGCACGACAACTAGACAGACTAGAACTCTAGTTTTGTAGAGATGGGAGGACCATGGAGGAACCAACATGTTTTGTGCAAAACCAACCCACCTGTCGACACAAATAGCTGCCTCTGCCACTCTTGGGCTCTTTGAGTGCAATAGGGAACTCCGCCGGTGGTGGCACTCCAACCCGAACACCAGTTTGTTGCGATCCTGAGTGCCTGGCAAGGGCACGTCTGTTCAAAAGCAATGGAATATATAGGCGATTTTGGTTCATTGACTGCAGCTGTCAGAACACCCAGGACCATTAAGGGCCACCACATGCCAATAATAGGGCCTCCTGATGAGCATGAACACCTTGAGCCTTGCCATGCCAATAATTGTCAGGCTCTAATTCACTCCATACCTCAGTGTCTGAGTACGTACATCTGAATATCCATGAATCCCGTCCTTTACAGTGGCAGCCTTGGTTGACGTTCAGGTGCGTGCTAAGGACACCGGGCATTGAAACAATCCGGAACGGCAGCACGAGCAGGACACGCGGCACTTCGGCCTTGCACCCATGAGGAGTGAAGCTAGAAGACGTGCAAAGAATTCGTTCAATTGCTTCTTGGCTAAGCTACACCAGGAGTTCGAATAGCTTTCAACTATTAACTATTCAATAATTGACAGATTCATGGGCACTAACATATCTAACATATACGACACGAGTGGAAAAAACATGCACCGGAGACAATGGATGACCTGCGACAAGCAATCCGTTGGAACTCCTGGTGAATCAATCCGAGGTTTCTCACAAGTGAAACTCCCGGCATCATCGCCACCGCCTACAAAACAGCTAAAGGAATATAAAGTAAAGAAATAAAATAACAACAGTAACACATGATGAAAAAGTAATAACAAACAAACAAACAAACAACACGTTGGTGTCCTGCGGTTTGTAGTTTTAGTGATGTCATGTTTCTTGGGAAAAACATCTAGCATCTGACACTGTGCTTGGATGTGCGCAGCCTTGTCACTGCGAACTAGGCCAAACCAGTGGTGGCACTCCAACCCGAACATCAGCTCCCAAGCATCAAATAAATGTCAAATGCAAGGAATCCACTTGGCATATCTACTCCAACAGATTTCTTGTGCTGCAGGTGTATGTCAATTCAATAGTATTCACAAACGATCTGGCACAGGTGGAATATCCATCTGCAATCAATATCGTACAGATATATCACGTTTCAATTGTCGCATGTGCTGACATTAAGGTGCGTGCTAAGAACACGTGGCATTCAAAACCTGCGACCAACCTGCACACAAACTGCAAGGGGACAGCACTTCGGCTAATCCCAATGCGTGCCACTCACGACTCACCTTCAAACCGGGCACATTGTACGTTGATTGCAGATTTCCATCATGAGCTGCCCTAGTCTCCTACCATGTGGTGTGACCGAACAGAGGCTACCCCACTGGGCAACACAAAGTAAACCTGGGCAATTTCTGATTGGACAAAAGTGATTGTAACTTCAACCGGGTGTTCATAGGTGAGACGTGCACTCAGCTTTGGTCACGACAATGAGCTCCGATGGTCCATCCACAATGGTCCATCTCCATCTCCACTTGTGTTGCTCCTAGTGTGTCTGCGATCCAAATCACGTGCAGCACATGCAGCCATCAATGATGAGAGCTCCAACATGACAAAGCAAAATATATCAGTTATGGTGTTGCGGTTTCTCAAAAAAGTGTATCTATAGGGTGAAGGGCGCCTGCAGCTAGCATCCAGCATTTCTTCGGACGGAAGGTCAAAAAAAACAAGGAACATCAAGGAACTATTGCTGCAAGAGGTGTTGAGTAAAGGCCAAGTGACGTCCAAGCATCAATCCGAATAATACCCAGGAGCCTTGGATTAGCTCTCAAAAACATAATCAGCATCTTAATTTAGTTATTACCCATCGCAACTATACACATAATTATATTAAGTACTAGTCCCAACCAGTCCCAACAGGCGATAAGGACTATATATATATATATACACGAATCCAAAAAGCAAAACCAGGGAGCCGTGTCAGGAATGCTCCAGACATCTTCCGCCGCCTTCCTGCCCTTCCGACGGCAATGCTTTCCCGCACGACGAATCTCCTGGAGCTTGTGGCCGTGGCTATGGATGCACGCTGGAGGCTGAAACACCGCCACAGGCACGTCTGGCTCAAAAGCGATCTTCAACACCTTGGATGCTTAAGGCACCCGGTGGCAAAAAAAAAACTATATAGTCCCTTCCAGAGTCTGCCGAAAAGGAGTTGCAAAAAAAAGGGTAGGAAATACCAAATCACCCAGAACTGGAAGAAAAGCCAAGACACTGTCACCGGGCCTGGCACAAATTCCACTGAGGTCAGTTTCGTGGGGATATGGTCTCCTACCATGACCTCATCGCCAACCTTCAGGTCTGCAGCGGAGACCTGAGGAAAAGGAGATCAAAGCTCCAAGCTGACGTGAGCGGAAAATTAGACATCTTGTTATATTTCAGCAGCAAAACCTACACACAAAACACATCAGTACACAAAAACACATGCCTTCAATGTCTGAAGATTCTGCCTGTTACTTGGCCAAGTTGCCAAATGACCATTGCCAAGCACCACCCGATGGTCCGGCGTCACTTGCAACTTGGCCTCCCGAGCCTGAAGGAGCACCGTGGCGCGCGCAGCGTGCTGCTCGGGCGGAGACGCGACCTCCAATTTCGTTTGGCCATCGGCTGAGAGGATCTGAGAGTCTTTGCACCTGAGGTGAGGTTAAAGACTGGAACCAACATTCACATTTGAACGAAAATCGGAAACCTTTTGTCCATTCAACAGAAAACTTAAACACAGAAACAAATTCTTAGAGTTTTGTCAAGCTTACCTAAACATGTATATATATATAATGGTTCATGCGATGGTCCAGTATCATTCAGTGCTAAGTAGGCCGTTGCCTGCTCAATGACAGTGGACTTGCCACTACTACCGCTGACCACTCGAACATATGCCAATGGGCCATTGCAATCACAAAACTTCATAATCCTCATCTAGATGTTGTTCAAACATACACACATTCGGACGGATGCTGTCACATGCCATCTGGTTTAGAACACCCTTGGTGGTCGGATACCTTTACTATTCACCACTTGCTAGCCTGTCGGAGTCGTGGTGACCCTGTGGCCCTATGATGCCCTATGGCAAAATGATGCAACATGTCAGGTCTTGGCCAGCTTGAGGTTTGTGAATGCCAGCTGAGGTACAAATCTGCTCCGCTCAGAAGTTTGCCATCGGGTGCCTTGAAGAGCGCATCGGGCATGAAGCAGCGGGGGCCACTGGTGTCGATGGAGAAGCCGGATGACGCACTGTGCAGCATGCTGGTCTCTACACGTTGCTGGATTCGAACCCAAGAGGCATCAGAGCTGGCATCACTGGACTCTTTGTCTTCGATCTGCCACATTTGGTACTTTGCATGATGCATTGTTGACTTAAACTCATTCACATCATTTTTCTTCATCTTAACTCTGTCATTGACACCTGTGCGGGCGCACTTGACATTCACTTCATGCAAATCCTTCTTCAAATTGAGTAGATCTCTCTGCAACTGAAGATTCTCAGATTCTGTCTTCATGCTGCGCACTTGATTGTTGGATTTAAGCTCCAGCAATTCAGCCGACATCTTCATCAATGTTGTCTCCAACACCTGAACCCTCTCAACAATTTCTGCCCCATGGCACGCTAAGTCCATTGCCTCATCAGTCTTGCGCCGCTGATCCTCCAGCTTCTTGTGCGCTTCTGTGTGCATCAAAGACTCGTTCTTCAACTCCTTTAGCTCAGCACTGACAGTCATTGCTTGGAGAGTCATGTCCTCATTCTCCGACTTGACATCCTGCAGTTCCTTGGTCATCTTCAGTTTATCATCCTGCAAGCCTTTCAACTGAACCTTCATCCTTGAGAGCTCGCCCTCAAGCTGTTCACTCCTCTGGTTCCCAGCCAAAATCTTGAGTTCCATCTGCTTCAACTTGCGATCGAACTCAGCAGTCAACTTGCGATCGGTCTCAGCAACCTGGAGGTTCCAACTGTCTTCCTTCTTCCTTTGTTCCTCCAAAGCCAGAACGTAGCGAGCCTCTTCTAGGAGACTGTCCAAGAGATCACTCAAGTCATAGAGGGACACGGTATTTTTTGCCCAACTGTCCAGATGATCACAGAACTCAACCCACAATTGTGAGTCAAAGATTGTGTGCCAATTTGCAACGGCTTGTCGAATGGAGCGAGACAATTGCTGGAAGCGTGATTTCTCCGCCCAGTTCAGCTCGCCCACTCGGGCGTTGCCGATGCTTTTATTACTAGATTTCACCTTCCCAATGATCTTGTCAAGGACTTCCGTGGCCTGCGGGATTCCAGTCTTCTCGTCCAATGAAGCTAAGACTGGGAAGCAATGGTGGAGTTTTGAGTACATCTGATGAAGATGAAATTTGTTCACCGAATCCGTGGCCTCTTCGTACGCCGTTTCCTTGGTCGCGCAAAAGGTGCCAAATGCAGCACCCATCAAGATCTGCAAAAATGATCCAACAAAAAAGAGAGCCTCTTCTAGGAGACAGCCCAAGAGATCACTCAAGTCCCAGAGGGACACGGTATCTTTTGCCCAACTGTCCAGCTGATCACAGAACTCAACCCACAATTGTGCGTCAAAGATTGTGTGCCAATTTGCAACAGCTTTTCGAATGGGGCGAGACAATTTCTTCAAGAGTGCTTTCCCCTTCCAGTCCAAAGCGTGGGAAACTGTGGCTTCTCCCAAGGATATTCGACTCTCTACCCAGGATATTCGACTCTCTAGCCTCCCGAACAAAATCTCAAGGACTTGCGTGGCCTGCGGGATTCCAGTGTTCTCCTCCATTGAAGCCAGGATTTTCGAACAATTCTTAAGTTTCGAACAATTCTTAAGTTTGTTGCGCATCTGTCTAGTATGAAGCCCGTTGCAATTAGCCTTGGTCGGGTCAAAATGTGCCAAGTGCAGCACCCATGGAAATCTGTAAAAGTGACCACACAAGAAGATCCAACGTCTTCTGTTTCACCTTGCTCACTTGTGCTGCTTCCATCTCGAAATTTACACCCTCAGCCAACCAACTTAAACTAATTCCGGAGGGATATGTTTTTGAGGCCATGATGTACAAAGGACATCAAAGGAATGCCGTGCCATGTGATATGTGCCAATGCTATGGACTTGCGTTGTTCTAACATGAAACATGTCCTTCAATCTGAACCACCACAATTGGCAACCTCGTATTGCTCTAGTTTACACTCGTCTAGCAACGGGGTTCCACCGTTTCCCCCACCACTTGAGGCCAAGCCACGTAAATAAACTTTCTGGATGCCATCTCTGTGGATGCCATCGCAACCACGAACAGCGGGATGAATATTCTGGATTAAGCTGGACAATTGGGCGCTGGCTCTTGATGTCTCCGCTCTGAACCAATCCCCGCGGCACGGATGTGTCAGTTGAGAACATGCCCGGCGGGCAAAAGGACACCCAAAGCGACTGGAATGCTAAGCTGTCTGACACTTGCAAATAAGTTGAGCGCTGCCACTAAAAAAATAACACATGAGAAACACAAGTAAAAACACATATAGCGCTTCAGGTACACTTTTGTCATTACATACTCTTCTCTTGTTACCATCAAATGAACAATGTGTAGCACTTTGCCAAATAGGATAGCTCATAATCTCCACCAAAAGCCAAGTATACACAAACGCAGGAATGTGCGCCCATGCAAACAAAATAATACATTATGCACGGGCAACAGCAACAGTTTTGCAAAAATAAACACTTTCCAAGAGGAACCTATTTGGTCTGCTAGCATCCAACCAGAAGCAACGGCAACATCAAAGAGATCGCAAGAAGAAGCTTTGTTGGAGCAATGTTTGTAACCCTCGAGATGGAAGAATGGTCACATTAATGGTCACATGCATGTGTACGTTTGTGGGAACACCTGCCAGGGGGAGGGTGCAGTAACGTGAGCTCAAGACTGCTTGTGAAAACAGCCTTGTACAGGCGACAGGTTGGTGCAGGAGAACTCTTGAAAAGCAGTTGGCCCTACTGATTGTTTTCAATACGAAGCTGTCTTGTGTTCAAGAAGTTCGGCATCATGTCACGGACAAACATAGTATAACTCGTTTCGAAGAATTGTGCCCATGAAGCACAACTATAGTAATAATATTTATCATCATTTATCTACAACCTTTGTAGATTTTGGTGGTAGATGTCAAGGAATCTCCAACGTGTTAAAAATCAGCAAATGACCTTATATAATCCAGCTCAACCGCGCCCGAGCGGCAAAATCTCATCCACCGTGGACTGCGGCAAGCGATCCTCAATGACCCGCTGGCTTACTGCACTGTCCCGTCACCGGAAGGGTTTCATAGGCGGTGTCCTACACAGGAAGGTCGAAGGTCTACAGGAACACCTCAAGGGAAAACATTAGAAGAAACTAGTACAGTATACAAATAGACTCTGCCTGCAATCTGCTTTGAAAACAACTCCATAGATAGGTCGTCACGGCGCACAGAAACGACACTCTGTCACAGAACGGATGCTTTCCAACAACCCAAGGTCGCTAGAAGGTGGCTGCTATGTTGGTCGGAGGAGGGGGAAGTCCGGACATGATGTTGGCGTATCCCGAGGCCCGAGGCCCTTATACTGCAACCACACAGCAATATAGTGGTTGCTTAAGTTAAGTTCTCGATCCTGCAAAAGCCAATAAACACCGCTGATGGAAAGTCTTCGTCCTCGCCCTCCTACCACAAACCCACTTAGCTGTGCGCTCTATCCGGTCGAAAGCGCAAACGGACATTTCGAAGAGCTAGTATGATCATGCAGTTGCTACATTGTTTGACTTTGAACATGGTAGTCATCATTTCACTTGACTTGCATGTCTGATCAAATCTAGTTTTCCCTTGAAAAGGAATTGAGGTCAAAGCATGTTCTGACTCCGCTGTCAATCATTGTTATCATGGTTTCAATGTTCAATGCATCATGTTTAAACCCCTGGCCTATCGCTCCAAACCTGTTGTTTCACCCGCTTGGTGTCAGCGACGTGCTCTTTCATTCTGCAGCCATTTGGCCCCCATGGTGCACAAGATGGTCTGGATGGTCTTCCTTGAAATCGCCGGCGTTTCCGGCTCAAAGGCTGTGTTACCCCAGCCCGGCGAAGAGAATAGCTGTTGGGTGGGATCATGGTTGCATTGCATGCGCATGTGGGGTCCAACTCCCTAAAGTCCAAGTCTCCCTGGAAGCCTAACTCAAAATGAGGGTCACCCAAAGGTTTGGTTTCAAAGTTCATTCAACAAGATTTGCCGGCTGTCTTTCCAAGCCCAAGCCCCATCAAGTCTAAGCGCATCTGCAGCAAGCCAATATGGTGCCAAGATGTTCCAAACACAAGGAGGTTAAGCACGGCAAAGAAGCAAGCCACAGGGATCTGGTTGTTGAAGATTTACAACTTGACCACTTGGCAGCGGCTCTTTGGAGGCAGGAACACCAGGTTTTAGGCTACACGGGAAGTATACCCGACAAATCACGGAGCTGTAAGGCCTGAGAGAAGCACTTATATAAGAGCTTTTCCGGCACAGTTCCTCCAAAAGACTCATGTCAGTTCCTGATTTCTGCCTGCCCACTTGAACTTCAACCATACATAGAGAGTTAAACAGTTAGACATGACATGTTCTTCTAGTTTTGCAAAACAATGGCAGCCAAATGACGACTATGACAGGAATAGTCTTTTGATCGCTCCAAGATGCTCAAACATAACTTGTTTTGCTTAAACCCAATGGGTCCAAGACCATCCTGATGATGGTTTTGGAGCTCAAGCATTATCCCAAGGATTGCCTTTAGAGCCAAAATTGATCCTCCACAGAAAAGTAGGACCATATCATATCCCCTCATCTTGGCTCAAAGTATCTCAAACTCCTCTTTCTGGGCCAACTTCTGCCAACATTCTAATTATCAACATAAATCAACATATATTACATATAAACCGCCACTTAGTAAAAACAACGGCTTTTCTCCATCGTCATCTCCGACCTCCTCTCCGAGCGTCACGTCCAACACGCCGCTCCGCGTCACGTCCAACGCCCGCAGCGCGGAGAGGAGCTGCTGCTCGTCGGGGAGCGGTTCCTGCGCAGCCGCTTCGTAGAGGCGGTAGAAGTCCTCCAGCAGAATGCCTCGGGTTTGACGTGGGTTCTTTGGGACCGGCCGTGGTTACTCCGGTCCAGCTTGAACGTAGAAGGAACGAGCCTTGAGCCTTGAGAGGTTGAGAGGCCGCTTCACGTTCGGAGCCTGGCTGTGTGGTGCATGGGATGGCTCAAAAAGGGCTGTTCAACCTCTCTTGGAAAAGCCTGGTAGGGAGGTCTTGGACGTGTTGGACCCACGTTGGGTGAGAGCGAGAGGGCCCGGCGGTGAACACAAAGAGTCTAGTAGTGTAGGAAGGTCAGTCTTCTATCGTTTTGTTGTTTGAGATTTCATCCACAGAGTTCATACCGGATGTATCCTGTTATTCAACTGTTAGTAGAGATTGGATAATTCCAGCACCCTTCAAAAATAGGTCACCGCCTACTACACCTCTTTATGTCTTCAAACACCTTGAGGGGAGACCTGGCAGGGTGTTGAAATTTGGGGTCGCTTAAAGAACCAACAAAAATAATATATATGTATAACAATTCCCAGGAAGGGAATTCACCCACTCGGGAAATTAAGAATCTACCAAAGGAATCCTCTGAAAGCTTATCCGTTTAGATTCGTTTAAGTACTCTTTGGATCTATCTTGACGGTCCTTTGATCCCGTACACAGGGTTTAACTTGGTGTGGATGTCGTGGTTTAGTCGAAAACCCTCGGACCCTCTGCAAATCCAAAGGCGCCGTGTAAGAGCACACCGAATGGAGAAGGGTAGTTAGTCAAGTTGTCGAAGTCCTATGCCATCCCCCAGTCTCCATTCACAGAACTGAACGTACCACTACAAACAACACACACACGGCACACATCTCAAACTGATCCTCTCAAAAACCTTATGGGTTTTGGAGTCATACTATTTTTTTTGAAGCCTATACATTCCATCCCTCCCAGTCTCCGTGTGCTCTGTGTGCCTCCCTCCTTCCGCTCTCAGTGGCCCTCCTCCTCCACCGAGCCCATGAGCTCGGACAGCTGCTTCTCGCTCACCGCGCGGCCGCAGCCGCGCAGCAGCTGCGGCACCAGCGCCCGCGAGACCTCCGCCGGCGCGCACGGTGCGCCCGCGGCACCGACGAAGGGTCGCGAACCGGGGAGTCTGAATGAAGTGCAGCAAGTTCGGGGGGGATGTGAAGAAGAACAGGTCACAGGTGAGCAACAAAAAATCCAAACACCCCACCCCGGCATTGTGCTGATGTCAGGTTGCATACTCTTCCCTATACACGACAATGGAGATGTTGTGATGATATGATAGGCAGCAGCTCAGAAGGTTTCATGACTACACTCAGGATCTGAAGACCTTAGCGATCCGTATCCTTTGGGATTCCTATAGCTGTATCGGCGGTCGACATTTCTGCAACGAGAACGATATCCAATCAGCATCTTACCATAGTCTCATCTTAGTTGGCTAATATCGATCAGCAAGCCGGGAGAAGTCATATTCGTATCAAAGCATCAAGCAAGGGGGCGCAAGCATGTACCAAGCAAATGAAGTGGGTGCCTGATTGAGTGGGGACGTAGGGACTATCAATATCTATATAACTTTGTTGCTTCCTAGCCCCATCTTCTTGTCTGGAACTAGAATTGGAAAGTTACAGATTCCTCTACATACTTCATTCCTGCAAAAAATCCGATGAACATCAACCAAACCACACCTCGCAGAATCACATACTTTGGTTTGCCAGTCTGCCAGTATCAATTGCTTCCGTTGAACGCTCGGCCCTGCCGAAACGGAACCGGTTCGGAGTGCCTTCATCGGTAGTCCTTCGCGCTGCCGGTGCCGGGCACCGTCGGACTTCAGCGCGAGGAACTTGAAGGCCTTGGGCGGTCCAAAGACACTTAGGATTTGCTTCAGGAACCTGGAAGAAGTATTCCCCAGAAGGAGATTGACCCAAAAGGGAAGGTAAACAATCACCTTAAGCAACACAATATGGGACATGGTGACGGGATGGGTCACTCCGCGATGGGCTCGTGACAAACCTGGAGCCCTGGAGACCGTCCACCACGGTAGGAGAACATGACCTTCCACCAGGTTAGGGAACAAGATGGAGCCCACGAACCCGAATGCAAACACGTTCGAAAAGCTACATATGTCCAAATGACACTCTTGTAGGACACTCTTGTGGGACACTCTTGTGGGTCACTCTTGCAGGAAACTCTTGTGGGACACTCTCACGGGACACTCTTGTGGGACACTCTTGTGGGACAGTCTAGTAGGAAACTCTTGTGGGACACTCTTGTAGGACACTCTTGTGGGATACTCCTGTAGGACACTCTTGTGGGACACTCTTGTGGGGCACTCTTGTGGGACACTCTTGTAGGAAGCTCTTGTGGGACACTCTTGTAGGACACTCTTGTGGGACACTGTTGCGGGACACTCTTGTGGGACACTCT